TTCTTCTGCCTCGTGCTGGGTCAGGAGAGGGCAATAGTTCCTGTCTTCCTCTGAGCTCTGCTTCCTAGGGTGTGGCTTCCAGTCAGCCTGACTTGGGCTGACTGGATAGCTGGTCTTGGTTCCCCATGCCAGGCCTTCCTGTTGCCTGAGCTCCAGTTGCAATATGACCAACTTGGGCACCCTCTTCCTGTGAGGTCAACCTCCATGTATGGCGCCCTCTGCAGGTGAGTCAGCTCACAGCCACCTGCAAGGACTTCCCAGTGGGTCTCTTCATCGAGCAATGGTGTTTTTTCCCCTGTCCAGAGGCTCCATCCTCTTCTGTACTTTTTAAACATTTTATTTTTAACAACTCCCTCTTTTTCACCAACACCTTAAGGTCTGTTCTCTATTCTCTTCGTTGTTTTGTTTTTCCTCTGGGCCTGGGGCCTGGGCTCTGTGCTGGAGCCTTTCTGTGCTCATTTTTCTGTTTATGTGGTACTGAGGAATTGAACCCAGGGCTTCATGCAAGCGAGGCAAGCACTCTACTACTAAGCCACATTCCCAGCCCTCTGCTTTCTTCTTGTATCTCACAAATAAGACTCCACTAGAGAGGACAGAGCTGGGGACGCCCAACTTTTTCTCCAAAGTGGAAGGGTGCCTGGTGGACTTGCAGGTGGACCCTCAAGAGGCCTGCCTAAACTCCAAGGCTGCTTTCAAGGCTGTTTAAGAAGTAGTTGTGAGGGCTGGAGGTTGACCTCACAGGAAGAGGGTGCCCAAGTTGGTCACATTCCAACTGGAATCTGGTGCGTGGGGCCTGTGGCACCAAGGTCATGGCCAAGGCCAGAGCAAGAACACTACACAGTGGAATCAAGGGAAGTGTCTTTAGATTCCTTTTTCTGCTCACCCATTACACTGATGAAGACAGTGGCCACTTACCCGATCTGGTCCTCATCTGTGAACACTGGCTGAGGTCTGGCACAGTGACCTGCAATGTAGGCACCAACCAGGCAGCACTGGGATGACCTTTAATCCCATATACAGCCCAGCTGCTCAGGGTTGGAGGTCATGGTCAGAGCATGGGCAGATGAGAGATCACCTTCCCCTTTCCCGACAGCCCTCTGGCCCACCTCCCCAGGTTCAGATCTTGCCAGCTGAGCAATGACTCAAACCCTTTACTCTTTCCAAGTTCTAAATGGGAAGCTGCTTTCCACATGGCCCTAAGCTGTGTGTACAAATGCTCAGACACAAAGATGTCCCTAGGTTAAGCCCCCTCAGAGGTCCCCAACACCAGCAACAGTGAAAGACAGCTTTCCAGTTGCCGTCTCCCTAGCCACAGGGTTGGTGGCTGAGGACCAGAGGTAGGGGCGCCACAGTTCCATCTCTCTTGCTGTCGAATGATGTTCTCATGAAGTTGCAGCACATAGAGCGTGGCTCCCCTATTGGTCAGCTAATGGCTCCATATCAACCTCGGATTCTCAAACTCAGCTCTGCCACTGAGTAGCTGGTTGATCAAGTAACTTGGTCAGCCTGTTTTGGGCTGTTCCTTCACACAGACAGGGTGGGGACTGAGAACATGGCTTTCAAGTCCTGAGCAAGCTAGAGCTCAGTGACCATGTGCTGTTGCTGTAGATAAAATATGAGATTTCCAGACCACACTATTTGAAACTACATATATAATAGCCACTCAATATTGAATATACTATTAGTCTGCAACTCACATTGAACTGAGTATCTTTTCTCCCTGTCACGGAAGGAGGCATCACAAATGTAGGTGCCAAGCTATTGCCTGCTCCCGAGCAGCCTCCTTATTCCTTCGGTCTACCCAGGACATGGATCGCGTGGAAAGCAACTATCTTTCCTGTGCACAGGGTCTTGGGGATGGAGTCAGGCCACCAAGTTTCTTTCTTGTAGTTATTTGAGTCCAATCCCCAGATCTTTTCTGTACTTGCCTTGGGGCAACTTGAAGTTCTTTGCTCTTTCCTTTGCCCTGATCTCTGTCTCTGTCTCTCTGCAGTGGGGCTGGCCATTCTCAACATTGGCTATGGAGAGGAATAACAAGAATGACTCACAAGAGAACAGGCATGGTGATAAGCACTTGATACTCATCTTTGGATCAACCCCATGCATCACCTTTACGTACATATTGTCAGCATCCCATTTTACAGGTGAGGAAACAAATTCAGAGAAGGGGTACTGCTTCCTGTCCCTGCACGGAAGTCATATCCTGGCAAGTCTCCACCCCCTCTCTTCCCCTTATTCTAGTCCCTCCCCTTGTCCTCTAGGGCTTGGACTTAAGACTGAGGCAGAGTTAGACATCAGGGGCTGTTTGGTCAGTGTGAGTTTCCACTTCCATCTGACTTCACAAAATGCCTTTCTAGAAAGAGCCATTACTTAACTCCCCACCTTTCCGATTCCCATAGTCCACAGATACCTTGCAAAGATGGCAGCCACCAGGCAGAATGTCCTGCTACTGAGCTCCTGAGCCGGGTGTGAAGCCATGTACAACCAATGTAGAAACAAAATCCTAGTCACTGGGTTGGATGAATCCTATTTCTGACCAAAGAGAGAAATCCTGTGGTTTCCACACCAGGCAAAGAAACAAAGAATTCTTGCAAGAAACATTGTTAAGGAATTTGGTGTAATGAATCAAGCATAAACCTTTCCAGAGGGTGTGTCACTTGTGTTCCATTTTCCCTAGTGCCAGTTTTTCCAAGTGCAATTTATTTGCCAGGGCTGGAGGATTGGCTAGTTAGGACCATGGAGTCTAATCTCACCTCTGCTCTCTGACCAAGACAGTTTGGCAGCCTCTGTTGGCTTTCCCACTAGGCCAAAGGCAGTTACTATGGCAAACACACACAACACCAAGTACACTGAACTGGTAGAATAAAACTATGAATCTTCCCTGATTCTGTATATGCTGTTATTCTATCCAGCAGGTCTTGATTAGGTCTGTAATATTTACTTATTTTAAAAAAATGTAGCAGAGGAGCCAGGTGCCAGTGATTTGCACCTGTGATCCTAGCTACTAAAGAGGCTGAGATCTGAGGATCATGGTTTAAAGCCAGCCCAGTCAATAAAGTCTATATGACTCATCTCTACTAAAGTAAAAACAATCAGAATTGAGAAGTAGGGTTGTGGCTCAAGTAGTACAGTGCCAGTCTTTAGCAAAAAGCTCAGGAACAGTGCCTAGGCCTTGAGTTCAGGCTCCAGGACCAACACACACACACACAGAGCACCTTTAGGCTCCAGGACCAACACACACACACACACACACACACACACACACACAGAGCACCTTTAGGCTCCAGGACCAACACACACACACACAGCACCTTTAGGCCTTCCTAAGCTCAGGAACAGTGCCTAGGCCTTGAGTTCAGGCTCCAGGACCAACACACACATACACAGAGCACCTTTAGGCTCCAGGACCAACACACACACACGGCTCCAGGACCAACACACACACACGGCTCCAGGACCAACACACACACACGCCAACACACACACACACAGAGCACCTTTAGGCTCCAGGACCAACACACACACACACAGCACCTTTAGGCCTTCCTCTAATAATGCCCCATCCTTTCACACACACACACACACACACACACACAGCACCTTTAGGCCTTCCTCTAATAATGCCCCATCCTTTCTTCAGGTCACTGTATATCCACCTATGGCTGGCCCACAGGCTACGGCTGGGTCCGCATGTTTGTTTTGAGGGGGGGCAGTGCTGGGATTTAAACTCAGTGTGTCTCACTCTCCCACTTGAGCCTCATCCCAGCTCCATTTTGTTTATTTTGGTAGGGTATGTGCTTTAGCTAGAGTTGGTCCTCAGATTGCGGTCTTCCTACCTCTGCTTTCCCAATAGCTAGAATCACCAACAGGTGTGGGCTACCATTCTGGTTGACTGCTCAGACCTGAACTAGGTTTCAGCCTTTCCCTTCTCTCCCATCCCTTGTGCCTCATGGATGATGTCTCACAAAGCCCTCTCTGGCTGAGGAGCTGTGCTTCCCAGGGCGAAAGACTAGTAAGTTCTTTAAAAAGCCCTGAGAAGTCCAGCCATCAAGGTATTCCTGTCTGTGGACCTGTTCTAACCTGCAGAAAGACCAGTGTGAGGTCGGGCTTCCGGTATGGAGTTTCAGGAAGTGATCAGTTGGGTGAGTGTGGGAGCCACTGCTAACCCTCGTCCAGGAAACATTCTGTTTAACCTGTGCTGGGGCAGGCTGAGGGGCAGGCGAGGTCAGCCCTCCCCGCTGAACGGCCACTTAGCGCGCCCTCAGCACGCCTCACCCTCGTACACACATGCATTCACCAAATACCCAGGCAACAGAGACATCAAGTGCCAGTGAATCCCTCAAATACAGATCTGACTTTTAAACTTTTTTTTTTTTTAAATCCAGGATCAAGACCACAGACAATTTATTATGTAAGACATGAGTGGAGAATGGTCAAGGAGAGTTTATGGCTGTGAGTGATATGGAATTAGATGAAGAGGCTCAAGTTTGCTGAAGAGACTTTAAATTTGGCTTTTGCTCTTGGGAATGTCAAGATAATCATAAAGCAGCACTTATGCCTTACAGAGCAAATAATCCACAGAGCTGTCAGTTTCATTTTGCAGACAGGGTCACAATAGCAGTCAGACAGAAGCCTCAACACCCGAGATTAACATACAGGTTGGCAGATATAACAAGGAGAGTGCATGCTGGTGGGTTCTTCACTTAGCTTGGCAGAGAACCCGGGACCTCCTAGGGGTGTAAGTGGGACCTGGGAAAGCAGCTTTTCCATACAGAACAACAACAACAACACAAGGACAACAAAGGAGACCAGCCTCTGCTGGCTGTCTATAATACTCATGTGCAGTAAGGCTTTCAAGATACAGGAATTTTTATAGCATTTGTATTTTAAGGATTTAGGGCAAATACATTTTTTTCTACTCGATAAAAAGAAAATTAGTACTTAAAAGGTTCAAAAATATATCGATTGAGTGATTTTTTTACATAAATAAATTATATTGATTTTTTTTTAAGGATTTAACAGCTGAAAAACCCTTTCTGCTTCCACTGGAGGCAAAACTGAACAACACAATGTTAGTTAAATAGAAAGCAGCATTTCTAAGAAATCTGTTGTCAGCCTTACAGACCATCTACACTACAGAGATACCATTCAATAGGATTTATTCAATTCCTGGATTCTTTCTTCTTTATAGGATCAATTATGGAATTTCTATCTTATATATTTGATTCATAAAACTGGGATTCCAAGTTTTGAAAATACATTTAGATTCATATTTTCATGATTGAACAGACTTCTTTGAGATGCTCATTTTAACATTTACATAATTTATAATCCCAAATGTATAAAAGACAATGACGAAAGCATCATAAATAAATAATGCAAACTGAAATACTTATGTCAAACATTTGGACCTTTCTGATAAATTAGCAAAACGGTAACAGAAACAGTAAAAAAAAAAAAAAAAGAAAGAAAAAAAAAGAGAAAAATACAGCAAATCGTGACAACACAAAGTGAAACACCTGCCATATTTCCAGCCCTGCGGGCCCTGTGCCCCCAGAGTGCCGAGCTGTAAACTCGTTTCAAGTCTCCAGCGAGAACTGCCCACCGGGTGCACCTGCCCAGAGTGAAAGGTGGAAGGAAGTGGGAAGCAGGTGTGGTTGGACAGGTTCTTCCCCGTTCAGCTCCTCAACACAGAGAACTAAGCAAGGAGAAAGAATACTGCAGACTTCCAACAGAGTCTCAGCTAAGTATAGTGTGGCATTCAGGCCAACCATTAGATCTAAGTAGAGCCGAGAAACAATGGAGAGGAAAAAGACTTTTCACAGTTGTAGTGTAAAGGGTGGCGCATACCTTAAGTAACTGACCACAGAACCTAGTGCCCAGGGAATACCTTCTGTCAGGCTCTGGCAAGCACAGCTTTGGGGAGGCAGGTCAATGGCTAGGATGTTCTTGGGAGAATGAGGCCAGAGCAGCGCTGGTCCTGGGTTGGGGAGCTGGCGTGCGCTCTCTGGAGTAGGAACCCTCACCCACCCCTGCTGGCAGGAACTCAAGCTGTGTGAAGCTTTCTCTGACTTAAAGTCATCTTTTCGCTGGGAGAGGGTTGATCCAGATACACAAACTAATGCCTAGTCAGCCAGTATTTCTGCAGGTGTCTAAAAACAATGAAGGGGGAAGTTACTAACAGTAAGGTTCCTGTTTTCATAAAGAAATCAATATATGTGTTTCAACCGTTGGTTTATATATTTCTGACTATGCTACTCAGTAATTATAAAATAGGGCCCTATTTTAATTCTGATAAAAAAAAAATGCACCAGCACTTCCTTCCTCTGTGCTTTTTGGTTGTCTCATTACATTCTTTCTATTTGACCGAGCTCGCAGAAAAAGAGCCCCGCTTTGTCTCTGTCCTTCATCCCTTCCACAATAGATCCCTAGACAGCTTTCTCTTGCCATTTTCCTCCTCAGGTGAAGTGGGAAGCTTGGAAGGGAAGGGGGAGGGCGTGTCACAAGTATGGCATCGACCACGACTGCTGGAATGAACCACTGGGGAACAGAAGGAGAGTTCTGTGCCTCCTAGACTAGGCACACGACACTTAGCTCATGAAGTGGAAAGACCCTGCAACTATGAACATCTGTTACCATAGTCCTCAGACAGGAAATTAGGTAGGCCATATTACTCATGGAAACACAGGTTCTTGTGAACGTGAAGTGAGGGAAGTAACAAACCTTAATGGGATAAGAAACTTACAAGTCACAAGAATTCCTTAAATGAAAAAGTTCTAGTTGGTGGTGGTGCCGGAGTCTTTGAGCGCCCCTTCCCCAGCCTGAGCCACGTGTTCTCTCTCTGGGGGCAAAGGGACACTGGCCTCGGTGCAGTTCTGGTCGCTGCCTGGCTCCCGCTCGCACCCGGGAGCGGGCTCTGGGTTGGGGTTGGGGCTGTCTCCCTTTGTCTTCTTCTTCTTCCTCTTCTGGCTCTCCAGACCTATGATTTCCGAGTGTCTGGCCTGCTGCATGGCTGGCAGAGCCATGCCCATGCCGGGGGAGAGAAACATGGATGGGTAGATGAGTCCAGGAGACACTCCTGGAATGAGAAATGGGTTAAAAGCCACAGGACTACTAGTAGTTATTGCAGGTTCGGACTGATCAGAAAACGGGCTAGGACCAGGCTTGTCTTCGGCTAGTGAGTCTGTTTTCACGTCGTGGCCGCTTGGCCTGTCCTCCGCCGTCTTCTCAGTACCCGCTGTGCCACTTTTGGCTGTGCTTGAGAGAGACGCTGACGCGGTGGAGGTGCAGGTGGTGGCCATGGGTGTGTTGAGAAGTCCCCCAACGCCAAACATCTGGGGCACAGCGGCCACACCCGGGAGCATCATGGGCAGCATGCTCAGGGTGCTCTTGACCTCTTCACCCGTGGGCATGGTGGCGAAGCCAGCTGGGAAGCCCACCAGTCCGGTGAGGGGGATGCCTGGCATGTTTCTCACATTCTGCAACCCTACCAGATCCATTCCCGCAATTAGCCCATTCATGAACAGCGGCCCCATTCCGGAGGGAGAGTCTGCCACGATGGTGGGCGCTTTCAGGAGATCAGTCCGCGGCCGTCGGCCTCTCCTGCGTGAGCCTGCATCTCGAAGAACAGGCTCGGCCAAGGTGTGGTTGAACTTGTTTTCTGGGAGGAATCCCTGGAAAAGGACAAAGATACAGGATGCTAAGTTACTAGGCAGAAGGTAGAAGGTTGGGGGCGGGGGTGACTGGGGCTCTGCACTGGCCTCCCTTGTCCCCAGCTCCACAGATGGCTCCAGGTGGGAGAAATATCTTGTCCACAGGCCCAGAGGGTTTCTCTTTAGAGGCTGAGAGCATCTGGTGGTACAGAAATGACCAGGGTGGCCGTCGCTGCAAGCAGTGCTTCCAACACACTCACTGGCAAGGGCAGTGCCTCCTGGAGAGGATGGCAGAAGGGTGGGGGAGGCCAGCACTAAGCTGCCTCTCACACTCCAGGACACAGAGGGGCTGTGACCTCTGCAACAGACAGCAGCACGAGCCTTCCTGTCGACACAGGAGAGTTTGTATGCATTGAAGCAGCAAATCAGAATATGAAGCACAGGGTTTTGGAGCTAGACAAACCTGTGTTTAAGTCCTGACTTGGCAATGCCAAGGACAGATCAGCTACGGCTTGAAAAGGACAGCGATACATCGGGTGCTGGTAGCTCACGCCTGTCATCCTAGCTACTCAGGAGGCTGAGATCTAAGGATCATGGTTCAAAGCCAGCCCGGGCAGGAAAAATCCGTGAGACTCTTATCTCCAATAAGCCACTCAGAAAACTGGAAGTGGTGCTGTGGCTCAAGCACTAGTGTTAGCCTTGAGCTGAAGAGCTCTGGGACGGCACCCAGGCCCAGAGTTCAGTGATGGCACCCAGGCCCAGAGTTCAGTGATATGTACTTAAAGACATTGGGGGTAAAGTGTTCAGCAACTCCCCAGCTCCCATAGGCCACAACTATGTGCATGGGAAGGCTGCATGCTGGGTGCAGAAATGAAGGGACGTGAATACTTCTGGGTAAATGCCACCGTAGTGAGTGGTATTTTGGCTTCCCTTAAAAGGAAATCATCTATTTCGCTTCACTTTGTTTTCTTTTGGGGGGAGGGGAGTATTGTGGTTTGAACTTAGGCTGCTACTTGCTAAGCAGGTGTTCTACTACCTGAGCCACTCTGCCAGCCCCTTTTGTGTTGGCTACTTCTGAGATAGGGTTTCACTTCATGCCTAGATTGGCCAGGATTGTGACTCTTCCATTTCCCTGCTGTCTAGGATGACAGGTGGGCACCATCACATCCAGCCACTGGTTGAGCTGGAGTCTCGTGAATGTTCTTCTTTTGGTCCAGGCTGGACTGATCTCTACCTTTCAAAAGTAACTAGGATTACAGACCCAACTCACTGTGTATAACTCTCCAGCCCCCCCCCCCCTTTTTTTATGCTGTTACTGGGACTGGCCCACAGCCTCCTGTCTTTTGAGAATCAGAGGTGGACGGGACTGGCTGTATTCCTTAGTGGAACAGACTCTTGGGGAGAAAGAAAGGAGGTACACATCTTACCTAGAGACACAGAAAAAGTCAGATAGAGACATTGTATTACTAGGGCCTGGAGCTGTAGAGAATATGGAGAGAAAAGTCAGCAAGGCTAAGGAGGTCTGAGCGCTGAGACTGGGGACTGGGAACTTTAACTCACAGCTCTGGCATTTCCTACTGTTTTCATGGTTTCTCTTCTCCTTGAAGGGACAGTCGTGGTTCAGTTGGTGACACTGGTTCCAGGCTGGGAGTTGTGAGGACACATGTAGTGGGCTCCAAGAAGAGAAGCACTTCCCATTGGGAAGTATTCAGCACCTCCAAGGGTGGTGGGGGTCTGGTGGTAATAGGAAGGGCAGCAGGAGAAACACTAGCTGCCACTAACCAAGTGTTCATGTCAGGTACCAATCCAAGGGCTCCACTGTATTGTCTCAACCAATTATTACATCTACTCCAAAGTCAACATTATCACTGCAGCCACTCACAGAAAACTTTTAATTCATAGGAGACTGAAATTATGAGCATCTGATTTGTGTGTGTGCGTGCGAACGTGTATATTGGTAATGGGGCTTGAACTTGGGATCTTGTATTACTCTTACTCTGCTTTTTCACTCAAGGCTGGCACTCTACCAACATGGGCCACACCTCTACTTCTGGCTTTTTTGTTCCTTAATTAGAGATAATAGTCTCTTGTATCTGTCTGCCCAGGCTGGCTTTGAATTGCAATCCACAGATCTCAGACCCTGAGTAGCTAGGAGTAAAGGTGTAAGCCATTGGCACCTGGTACATCTGAATGTTTTGAGCCCCTAGACATAGTCATTTTTGAAGTCCCAAACTTGTCTTACAATTTCTCAAAAAATACTCAATAAAAAAACAGCTCATAGCCAGGCACTGGTGGCTCATGCCTATAATCCTAGCTACTCAGGAGGCTGAGATTTGAGGATCATGGTCCAGAGCCAGCTACGGCAGGAAAGTTCATGAGACTCTTATCTCCAATAAACCACCAGAAAACCAGAAGTGGTGTTGGTAGAAGACTAGCCTTGAGCTGAAGAGCGTAGGGACAGAGCCCAGGCACAGAGTTCAAGGCACATGGCCAACTCCCCCCTAAAAAGAATCGCCCCCAAAACAAACAACCCTTCCCCTCACACAAAACAAACCTCAATTCATTATGGGCAGGAAGCTTTATGAAATGTCTCAAAAAGACCTGGCTTAGTATTACAGAGCTGGAGTTACATTACATACAGAGTTACATTTGTTTTGCTTTTCTTTCAAAACTGAGGGTTAAGACTACCTTGGGGTCCAGATAGTAGAGAGAGAGAGAAAGCAGGGCCTACCTAGGCCCTTCTGCATACCATACCATACCATACCATGATACCTATTCCTAATATGATCATCCATTGGCCATGTGCTAGGCTGGTTTATCCTTGAGCATGTTGGGTAAATGCTCATTCTAGTTCTTGTTTGGAAAAGAGAGACAGTAAGACTCAATAGATGGGGCATGCTAAAGGAATGGTTATTCTGCCTGTCTTAAGTTCATCAATGCTGGTCCTTGTTCTGGGCCAGCTTCTCTGTCTACATTGTGGTCTTGGACTGTTGCTGGCCTCATGACATTTCCTGGTTAGCACAAATCCTTCCAACACTTCTCTAACAAAGACTTCTTCCTTGCAGCCCACCCACAGCCAACGGGCAGGCAAACGTGGAGAGACTTTTTCCGAAGGGTACCTTCCACCTCAGACATCTTTTTGTGAGGAAGAAAACAAGCCCAGCACACGATGAGTAATGCCTCCACGGTATTTCCTAACAATCTGCTGTAAATTAGATCTTTAATGTAATTTGAACTAAGTTCCTTGTTAGGACAGCTAGAATTAGACAACTCGTTTAAGATTGGCTGAGGCCCCCCAGGAGTCTTGCCTCTCTGACAACTAAATGCATAGAGTGTTCTTCGCATCAGGATGTTAAAAAAACACAACAAACAAAAACCCTTTCTCTGCCCTTGCTGAGAACCTTGGGTACATAGAGAATTCTGGGGCTGCTCAGAAATGAGAGTTTGCTATGAAGGCATGGCTGGTCTCCTTTCCCTATCATGTCCGGAGAGCAGCAGCAGAAAGGCCCAGGGTAGGTTGGCTGGTAAAGTGGCTCAAGTGATAGCGTCTGCCTAGCAAGCACGAGGGCCTTGTGTTCAACCCCCTCCCCCGCCACCTACAGAACAAGAGGAGGGCTGGCAGAGGAAGCCTGCACTCACCACTTCCTGTGAAGGAGAGTCACTCCAGCCACCCAGCTGCTGCCCAGCCCAGGCAGGTGCCCCTCCCAGCAGCTCAGCGACCACACACAGCGGCCAAATTGGGATTTGGCAGCTCTCTCTCCTGGTAATTATACCCTGGGAGCAAACCTGCTTGTGATTCCAGGGGAGGCCTGGGGAGAGGGCAGAGAGAGCAAGAAAAAGGAGAGTCCTTGTGTTCAAGGCAAAGCTGCTTTCCAGATGATCGCATGGGCATGCTAACCCAAGAACGTCCTCACGAATACAGAACTGCATTTATCCTAACTCTAAAACTCTTGGGTGGGAGTAGAAGGGTGCTACTGATCAAAGCTGGCCTGCTCTTCCAGAGTAGTGGAGCAGTGGAGAGGTCTACCAGCCAAATATGGCTTCTCACTTAGAAATCCTAAAAGTGAAGCAAAACAAACCACACTTGAACAAAAGCAAGCTCATAAGGACACTGTTGGAATGAGTGGCAAAATGTGAATATGGAAACCAGATCTCATGAATATTCCTATGTGGTAATGGTGACAATTATGTAGGAAAGTGTTCTTAGAAGATGCATGCTAAAGATTTTAGGCGTGAGTGACATGTCATATTTGCAACTTACTGTCAGGTAAATCAATAAAAAATGATACATATAAAACAAATACATACTATGTAATTCACAAATATAAGCTATATTAAATATGAGCATGTGACATGTGGTTCATGAGCAACCACTATGTCCTGGGCAGTATTAAGCTGAGCCCCACTGCCTTTCATGTAGACTGGCTTATGCCAGGTCTGGTGGACCTCAGCCAAACCACAGAACACAAAGCAGAAGTTGATGTAAGCTCAAAGGAAGGAAGGCATTCTGTGTGGCATTCTAATCGCGTGTATTTTCTTCCAGACTCAACATCTGTATCCTCCCTAAATTCATATGTTCCAAACCTACCCTGTAAGGTGTGAGGAGTTAAGGTCTTTCGGGATGATGAGCGCAAGGGGCCAAGCACTTAGGATGCATTAGTGCAGTCACGGATGGACTACTGCTCTTGGGGATGGATAAGTGCTCTCCTGAGAGACCCCTGAGTGCTTGCTTGTTCCTCTCCCGTGGGAGGATACAAGAAGATGGCTGTCTGTGAGCAGCAAGGCCCTTTTCACCAGATATCAAGTCTGCAGGTACCTTCATCTTGAACTTCTAAGCCTTCAGAATTATGAGAAACCAATTTCTATAAATTTTATAAGCCTTTTCTAAGACTGATGTGGGAAAGGAGGGGGCTTGAGTCCCAGAAGACCTGTGGGAGCCAAACTGAGTGCGTGGCTCTGTTGAAAAGGTGAGCAGCCCTGGGGACCAGGCGGATAGCACTGCCTCGAGGCAGGGAACACGTTTCTTCAACACAGGAGCGGGGTTCACGGGAGAGGAGGCTGGCTTGCAAGAGCAGCTCAGAAATGTTTTTTATGGTAGGGAGTGAACATCTGCAGAAGGGTGATGGATGTTGATTTCTCTCACTAGGAAAATGGCTAGTTATGAAAAGGCAAGTGAGGAAATTATAATATCATTTTAACATGTCTGTAAACAAAGAGCTCAGGAACTATACAGGGCACGAATTGAAGGTCTTTATCTGACCTGATCTCTTCACTAAGATACTCTGTATACAGAAGGTGGCAATAGACAGAATAAAAATGGAAGCTGGATCAGTCTGTATAGTACAAGCATATCTGAAGAAAAGAGTGGTAACGACGTTTTCTGAGAATAAAGCAAGAATTGGGAAGGAATGGTCTAGGCCTCCCTCCAGGTGGCTGGTGCAGTAAGCAAGAATAGTTGTCTGGAGCTGCTGGGTGAGAGACAAAGCCTTGGGAACATTAAATAACAACTCCTTTCTGAGCAAGGAGGAAGTGACCGGGGTGGGTGGTCTTCTGAAGGTCAAGTAAGAAATCACACACAGCCAATCCCACCAGGAAGGGGACTCATTCTCAACAGCTGGCAGGGCACTGGAGAGCTTGGGTTCATGGAACAGCCAGCCTGGGAAGAGCAAATGTCCCCATGGAGATTTCAGAAGCTCCTATCTGGGCAGAATACATTCTGGGGAGGTTAAAAGTTCACTGATGTGCAACCTGCCCATGCTTTCGATGGAAATGCTACTGCTGCCCCCTAGAGGTTATGACTTTCCCATTCCAAATTTGTAAGCATCTGTAAACTTTAATTAATTCAGATTTGTTATACTGTGCAAACATTCTGCAGAGATCTTTAAAATCTCTTCCAGTTTTGTGACTTTACAACAGGAAAAACGGCAGCGCCAGGAATCAGCTGCTTTTATTGTCAGTGAAGCACTAGGGAGAAATATCTGAAATAGCAGTCATCAAAAAAAAATAGCTAAGAAATGAAAATATTACATGACATTTGTTCAACACTAGAAACAGACTGCTGTCAAGGGCTAAGGCTCCTCCCCCAACCACCTCCAGTAACTTACAAGTAAGAAAAAAAAGCACCCAAAACATCAAGCCACAAACAGTTGAGGAGATACAGGTGGAAAACCTGTGGCCACAGGAGTCACACTGCTCAGCAATGCCCAGGAACTGCTACTACTGTTTATCAACTGCCAAAATGCCACCGGCTACCCACTTTGCAGTGTTTCCCAGCAGGGCCTTCCTCTCAAGTATGCAAGGGGGTGGTTCAACAACGATGCCTCCCTTGCTCCCAGACCCATGGCCCTCCTCCTACCCTCAGTCCTGGCTCCTTGGGGACAGCAGGAACCCTCTCTTCTCCGCTCAGAGAGCTGACATCTAATTTTCCAGGTTCTTTACAGCGTGGTCTCCTCTGCTTTGGTTTATCTGAAAAACTCTAGGAGGCAATGGAGACCAATATTACAAAACATTCTGCCACAGTCTTTGGATGAGGGAGATGTTTTCCAACTGTTTTTGTTCTTCTCTCATTGGTATCACTTTGCATGGGACTTCATCACCTGCCCTAGGCTTGCTCCTTGAAGCACCCGGATTACAGCAAGCTGGACCTACGCTTTCCAACTGGAGCCCCTGACCTCCGGCTTCCCAGGAGCTTTCTCCTTGGGTGCTCTCTTCTGCTACCTGTCTTGTCGGCTGTCTTGGGAAAGTGTGCACCTGACAATCTGTTCTTTTCTTTCCTGTGCATTGTGCTTACGCATCTTATTTACCAAATGGGCCCAGGGTAAAGAAGGTGGAGGGCAGATAAGCAGGGAAGGAAACTAAAAAAAAAAAAAGATGAAATATCAGTGCTCAGGAGTCCACCCTAAAGATTTCTCTAACTGAAAGGACTCAAGATCAAAAGCAGTAGATGCGGTGGCAAAGTCCCAAGGCTACAGTTGTAAACTAAGAATACAACTTCTCCTACCCCCTCACCAAAAGAACAGTAACGTATTAATCTGGAAATTTTTCATCAAGTGGTACAGTTCACGTAGCCTGAGGATTCCTGTAAGCTTATGATATCATGTGGTCATTTTTGGAGGATCTGAGAGGTTAAACTTAGATAAGTCCTGCCTGTCCTCTTAATATTTTACATATCTATTTCTTAGGACAGTATTTTTATGTGAGCTGTAATTTCTGTTCCTGGAGGACTTAACCAAAATTTAAACTTTAAAAAACAAAAACGAAACTTAAAATGATGTTCTCAATCAACACAAATGTGTCCCAAACAGCCTTAATCTCTAGTTTCCCTCAGCACTCACTGATTAAAAAATAGCACTAAGTCAGCAGCCGGTTAGCTGAAGCATCAGGCAGCACCAGCCAGCACTTACTGCTCCAAATCCAGGAACGTCCAAAGAGTAGTCAGCCTGCTGCCGCAGCCAGTCAAGCAAGCTCTTGCTGGGAATGGCTTTCTCAGCCTGGCTGCTGGCTGTTCCTGGAGGCTCAGGGGCTGAGGTAGCGGGTCCCGGCCCTTCAGGGTGTGTGGTGCTCAGGGTGGCCTGTCCTGGGTCTTCATGGACTTCCTGGGTGAAGGAATGACAAGTATGCATAGCTCAATTATAACAGAATGAAAACGAGTCCCTAAAGCACATAAAATATTCTTTAACTTTTCCATCGACTGCTATCCTATTATCACTGGCTGGAATGCTTGAATGGAAACCCATACACTTCTGACCCACCACTGCATGCTGGGTACGCTTCTACCTGAATGCCCTTCTCTCTGTCTACTTGGCAAACTTCAATTCCATCGTAACTGCTCCAATTCCGGGTACGCCTTTGTCCTATCGCTGACTGTGCCACGCTAGCTTCTGTGCCCCAGCACCTGTTCTCAGCTCTCTCAGGGCTCAGATAATGCCACACTGAGGTCTGCCCACCTGATTCTGTCTATAGGTTTTTCATTTAGAAAAGACTGATTTTCACATGTTGGTTGTCGTTAGGATCAAAAGAACAATCATGAAAAGCTGAACACAGTGCCTGACACTGGGAGATGGTTAAAAAATATTGGTTATTATTATTATTCTTTAACACATGAATTGTGACCTTTTGCAGGGGGGGCTTAAAATCTGATAAATGGGAACTCAAAATCTAGTGTTAAGGACTAAGCAAGTCTAAAGTGGACTGGATTTCTCTTGGCTGAGCAGTTTCTGACCTCCATTGTTTATAATTTAGATTGTACTGTCTTCGTGTGATTTCCATGAATTCTCATAGAGGAGCAGAACAGGGCTTAGCAGTGCCCACCTAGCATGTCAGGCAGGAGAGAAAGAACCAACATTCAGCTAGTCCTGCCTCTTGGATCTCTGCCTGGTTAGCCTTGCTTTGCTCCCTCAATTCCAGTGGCTCTTCTGGAATTCTAGAAGATTTGGGCTGCTACTATTTGAAATGACAAGACCTGATTCCATTTGAAATAAGAAGACACCCTGGCTCATTTCTTCAAAATGCATGCAGATCAAGGGCCACTCATCGGTTAGTATATATTTATTTTTAGAAAGATGGAAGGCACCTTATAAACAAAAGAAAACACACAGGGCCACTGAAAGCAGGAGAAAAGGGCCATACACCAAAACACTAGGTACCTGAGGAGGAAATGTTTGTTTCTTTGTGTAGAAAGGTTAATATTTTCATTCAGTGGCCTCCTATACTCACCAAGATTCCTGCCTGAAGTGTTTGCTCCTTCAGAAAGATGAGGTCCATCCCTCCTTCAACAGGTTTCCGCCTCCCTCTCCGCCTCCTTGTGGCTGCATCATCTCTCCTTAGGCTCCCATTGACAATCTGTCCGGTCACTGGATGGATCAGGCCAGCTTGTAGAATCCCAGACAAGTCCATGCCGAGGGTTCCTTGAAGTGAACTGATAGCTCCAATCTTGGGGGTGCTGGCACTCACTGGGAAAGGGGATGTGGCTCCCGGGGACCCCTCTGATGAGCAGGAGAGGTCTATGGCTGATTCCCCATGCCAGCCATTGAGGACGATGGGAGGGTGCCCGTGGGTGACAGAGAACTGTTCTAGGCTCCGAGCCTTGGAATCCCTTTCCACCTCAAACTCATAGGGTCGTCTGTGCTTCTGTTCATCTTTTGTGAATACCGGAGCTACAAAGCTCTCCTGTGAACACACAAAGGAAGTAGGCCTAGGATGGAGACTGAGCGCCCCTTTTCCCCACTTTCCCATTTCTGTGGAGGTTTGAACTCAGGTCCTTATACTGCTAGGCATGCACTCTACTGATGAGCCATGACTTCAGCCTTTTTTTTGCACTGGTTATATTGAGACAGGGTCTTGCCTGCTTATTTTACACTTCCTGTTGTAGCTGGAATGTCATGTACATACCATCATACCCAGTCTCTTCCTCTGAGATGGAGTCTTGAACTTTTTGCCCATGCTATCCTGAAACCACGATCCTGATGATCTTGGTCTCCTAAGTAGCTAGGTTGCAAGTGCACATGTCATTGCACCTAGCTATAGGTTCAGAGGGGATATTACATGTATGCCTGGGCTGGGCTTGAATCTCAATCCTCCATATCTCAGCCTCCCATTTATTAGGATTACTGGCATGCCCACTGACTCCTGAATAACCGGTTTCCAGGTGCTAGTATAGGACTACATTTGCAATTGCATGATTATGATGCAGGGATTCTCAATATCAATAGCACATCGAATCATTTGGGGAGTTTAAAAAAAAAACCCTCCAATACTCAGGCTACACCCAGGACTAGTTCAGAATCTGCAGGTTTCCAAAGTCCCCTGCTAATCTAATATGCAGCTGAGTGAGAACCAGTGTGCTAACAATTTATCTCAAACTCACTCTGACAGAAATGCTCACTCCTGCTGGTACACTGTATTCTGTCACCGTCTAAAGACATCTGTCTCCTCATGCTTCCTTTTTCTTCTACATTTACTAGTCAGAAAGTTATCCTTTGTTTGTTTGTTCCTTCTTTTGTCTCCACTCTGCTTACTGCACAGTCTAGAACCTTTTCTATGTATCAGTTCCTTATTTGGTCCCCAGTTCTGGCTCTCTTCTAATGTCGCCCCCGACAACAACCTGAAGACTCTAGTTGAGCCCAAACTTTGTTTTCATCATGCATGTCTCTGCTCCAAAATTTTTACTAGTTCTCCATAGCCTGGGAGATTGGGTAAGAAATCCCTCAACTAACACTCAAAAACAGAAGTATACACTATCCACTCAGTACCTATTTGCTGAATGAACTGAGAAGTTAGATGTGGTCCAGCTATCCTGTGTCTCACCTGCTGGAGTTGAGCCGCCAATACTGCCCCGTTGCTGAAGCTGTGCTCTGCCGTTTCTGGCTCTGAGAAGCTGTTTCCAGAACCAGCATGGCTGGCTAAGATGGGGGTGGGAGGTGTGCCTGAAGGCTCATACTGCTGACTGGGGGGCCACTTCCCCTTCAACACCACGTGGCAGATATTATCTAGGCGGTTAATTATCACCCGGTCCTAGGAAAAGGGTAAGAGACAGAATAAGCACCGAGACACCCAAATCCACAAGGTATCTTCTGATCAAGGGTCAAGTCACCTCACCTGAAGGAGCTGATCAGAGAAGAGCACATTCTTGAAATAAATTTCATAGTTTGGACAATGAAGATTAAATTCAGAGCCATAAGTATGGGATTTTTTTTCTATGGTTTAATTAGTCTACTGCATTTATCTCCAGTATCTAAAAGTTACATAACCAGTACACGTATGCACACACACTGGTACTGAGGTTTCAACTCAGGGCTTGGTTGCTGTCCCTGAGCTTCTTATGTTCAAGGTGAGCACTCTGCCACTTAAGCCACAGCTCCACTTCTCGTTTTCTGTTTGCTAACTGGATATTCTCATGAACTTTTCTGCCCAGACTGACTTCAAATCTCGATCCTCAGATCTCAGCTTCCTGAGCAGCTAGGGAAACAGATGTGGTACACTAACACCCAGCTGCATAAATAACACCTTGTAAGGACACCGAACAGTTCTGAGTCTATTTTGAAGAAATACTGTAAGAGGGTTGAAATGAATCAAAGCTGAGAATACTTTGGTGGAGGACACAAGCTCTGTGTATTTACTTTTGGCCACTCTGAGAAGGAATAGAGTGTTTTCTCCTGGAGCAGCTGGGCGATGGTGGGGACCCGAGCTTCCTGTGTGTCATCCCCAAGGTCTGCAATGCCGGAGGCTGAACTCTTGCTTTCCTCTTCCGAGTACTTCCCTGGATAGTCTGGGAAGAGAATTAAAAAAACGAACTGGACATTGGCGAGACATTGATTTGAAGTCTACCTTTTCTGTTCCTTTTTCTTCTTAGCTCACTTTGTGCTATCTTATTTCAAGTTGAATATTAATTACCATAGCTTCTATTTTTTTTTTGTCGGTCGTGGGGCTTGAACTCTGGGCCTGGGCGCTGTCCCTCAGCTCTTCAGCTCAAAGTGAGCGCTCTACCACTTGAGCTACAGTGCCACTTCCGGTTTTCTGGTGGTTTATTGGAGATAGGAGTCTCGCGGTCTTTCCTGCCCGGGCTGACTTTGAACCGGGATCCTCAGATCTCAGCCTCCTGAGTAGCTAGGATTACAGGCGTGAGCCACCAGCGCCCGGCTTCATAGCTTCTATTTCTAGGGGAACCAAATTAGTCAAACCATAAAGGCAAACCCTGCTTTAGGGCTATCAATGCAGGTTATCTACTGAGAGCGTGCACCTACACAAAGACCACAAAAAAGGGGGAAAGGGAAGTTCCTTAGAGAAGAGAGGAGAGGGGAGGGGAAGGGAAAGAAAGAGAGGGGAGGAGATTCTACATTCTTCATTAGTAGAGCTGACAAGGGAAACTCAACATTGTAATACTTGAAATCTCAAGGACAGTCCATACATATAAAATGTAAGATCTCTTATCATTGTATCTATTCCTATAACGAATTTCAGGATCACCTGGATTGTTTTCCTTTACAGTTTTGAAATTCCTTCTAACTCGAACCCTTATCTAAGATTTTCCTGTTCAAAAAGATCACATTCACTTTTTGAGCTGCTTGTAAGGGGTCTAACACCAATGCCCTGAAAGTACAGGGTTTCAATGACAATTACTACTCTTTACCTCAGCGAAGGCCAACTTTACTGGTGTTTTGGGAGTTCCTATAAAAACACCTGTATTGTGCACCTATATAAGCTGCAGGTCTCTGTTAGCTGCAAACATTCTGTTTTTTTTTTTTTTGTTTTCTTTTTGCTAGTCTTGGGGCTTGAACTCAGGACCTGGTCACTGTCCCTGAGCTTCTTTTGTTCAAGGTTAGCACTCTACCATTTGAGCCACAGCGCCAACTCTTGCTTTTGTTGTTTATGTGGTTTTGAGGAATTGAACCCAGGGCTTCATGCATGCTAGCCAAGCACTCTACCACTAAGCTACATTCCCAGCAGCCCCATCCTCAGTTTCTACAATGACCACAGTCAGGAAACTCTATTTAGTTTCAGACTAAGACTTGTGACGTCTGGTTTTGAAGGAGGGTAGGCCCGCTGATGACCATTCCCCTACGCTACCTGCCTCCCATCATGTAAAGATGGCTTATCCAGAGTCCCACAGGGTCTTACATACTGTACCTTGATTAGGGCAGGTCCCATCTCTATCATAATCATCTTTATTTTCAAAATCCATGTCTTCTGACTTGGGTTCACTTCCTTCGGAAGCATATGTGGGGAAACCTTTCTTTCCCTCTGTACTTTCTTTCCACGGGTCTTTTAAGAGCTTCACTTTAAATGGCTCTGATGGAACAGCAGTGGGCTCGCGTTCCACTGTGGTACTGTTGGCTCTGCTCCTGAACAAGTCTGGGTTATAAGCTTTGGGTTTCTCCACTTCGAATTCCTCACTCCCAAGGCCCCGTGCCCACCTCTCCATGTGTTTGCAGTGGCACTGACAGGCTATAGGAGGGAAGGTCCTCTGTGGTCCAGGAGTCTGGCTCACTACCTCTAGGCTTCCTTTCTTGCCTTCATCTAGATGGAAGGCTCGGTTCTTTCCCCTTGGGATGACAGGGGTGGGCTCGGTGAGGTGCAACACATCTGGCCTTTCTCTGGTGCGAGTTACCACTGCTAAGGTTTCCTCCTCATTTTCTTCCTCGTCCTCTTCCTCATCACTCTGGTTCTGACTCAGAATCAGCTTACTTTCTAAACGTTTGCTTTCTAGTAAATCAATTAATTGCTGGTCGGACGACAGGTTTCTTTTGGAGTCACAGACACTAAGACTGCACAGCTCTACAAACCCGCTTTCGCTTTCTGCATCCACGGCAGGGGAAGCTAAGCATTTGTCCTCGAGCTGCCCCACGCTTTCAGGTCTCTGGCCTGCCTCACTGTAGCATGGCTCCCCATCTTTTGAAAGAGATATCAACAGATGCTTTCCATTTTTAATGTTCATTTGAGCCACTCCTGCTTCCAAGCTTTCCATGAGCGAGGAGGCTGAATCTATTTCTGCCTTATGGCCACCACGCTGGCAGCTCCCATCTCTGCTGGCAGAGATGGTAATGGCATCTTTCCTAGATTCTGTGTTGGTACTTGGGCTCTCCTGGAAAGAGCCTGGATCTCTGTTGAGTCCTTTCTTACCAAACATCATTTTTTCCAAGGACTCGGGCAGCAGACTTTCATCATGGTTGATAGAAATGACGTCTTGAGCATTAGGAAGGAAGCTTTCACAGGTCACCCGGGGTAAGCTGCCTCCGGGAAGACCAAGATGATCATCTCTGCTTTCTATTTTCACCGCATTCTCAGGTTCACTTTCAAGGGATTCTGAAGTCCTACTCATTTGAGTATAGGTAAGAGATTCATATAATTTGGAGTTGTTCTGGTAAAGGCAACAGAGACTCCCTGGTGCCTGGGTGTCAGTCCTTTTATGCTGGGCATAGTTTCTGTAAGCATCCAGGAAGGACAGCTGGGGGTCATTCATGATGTAATAGTCGGTGCGGTTGAGCCCGTGTTTGGCAGTGCCAATGAGCAGGTCTCGGTCATGCTTTCCACACTCCCACCAGACTGGGAGGTAGAGACTGGGCCTGCAGAGCTGCAGACGCTCGTGCAGCTGAGGACACCTGAGCACCTGCTCTCGGACCTTCCGTAACAGCTCAATGCGGTACAGAGTTTTTGCAGCCCGCTCCTCAGTGATGGGTTCAACATAGATGGTAGCATCAGGAGTGCCTGAAAGAAGGGAGGAAATATAGCCTATCAGTGTGGTTTTACAATTCTGCTCCCTGGCCCCTTGGCATGGCAGTTATGGCTGTGGGGGTTTCTGCTCAAATGAGAAAGTAAAAGGAAATCAACAAGAACAGATCCGGGGAGGAAGCAAGAAAAGCAGGAAAACATGAGATCATGTAAAATCATTAGGTGTTCTACACACTAATTACTTCACATTTGTTACCCAGCTTTTACCAAAATTTCTCTGATATACAATCATCATTCCCCCCTCCCCCTGGCCACTGCTGGGTCCTGGGGCTTGAACTCAGGGCCTAGGCAATGTCCCCGAGCTTCTTTTGCTCAAGGCGAGCACTCTAGCACTTGAGCCACAGTGCTACTTTCAGCTTTTTTGAGTAGTTTATCACAGTGCTACTTTCAGCTTTTTTGAGTAGTTTATCAGAGATAAGTCTCACAGAGTTTCCTACCAGGGCTGGCTTCGGACTGTGATCCTCAGACCTCAGCCCCTTGAGTAGCTAGGATTACAGGCATGAGCCACTGGCATCTGGCTCATCATTCCTTTTTTAAGGATAACAGCCTCAGATAAGTTACTCTGCTCAAGGTGGCAGAACTACAATTCCTGCCTTGTCAGTATGACTCCATGGTCCAGATCTTTCCAGTATCCAGCTTGGCCTGAATGCAAACACTTCCATCATGGCACCTGAGGGGCAAAGGCAGGGATGTCCGCCTGCTGCCATCAGCTCAGAATGTATGCCAGGCAGGCCCAGTGCTTGTTTTAGCTGTCCTAAAACATGATCCAATATAAGTTTATCTAATAAATGTGGTTAAGAAGGGACCTGCAGGAAGCAGGTGCAAATTTCAACCAAGAGACCATTTCAGAAGGGCTCATAACAGACCAGGAGATATTTAAATAATATCCATTTATTACAAAGTTAACACATGGTAGTCTCTCAGTGTTTCTGTGAGGTTTTTGTTGCTGGTGGTAACAGTACTCAGGGCCTTGACTTGCTAGGCAGATGCTCCAACACTTGAGCCGGGCCCTTTGTGAGGTCTTGGTTGAATTTCAATTTTCATTGCAATTATACCATCTGGGGAAACATTTTGCTATACTGAGGGTGGATCCAATGGCGAGTTGATGAGTTTCTAAGAGCCTACTTGACTTTGTCTGAAGCCCTTGTAATTGTAATTCTGCAGTCAGAGTGCTAGCATGCTCTCCCCATCGCACCAACCACACCGTGACAGAGTTTTCTCACCATCCTCTTTCCATGCGGGCAGACGACACACATTCCGGCACATGGCCACAAAACTATAAAAATAATGTTCTAGGCTCTCATCTGACTTCTTGTCTAAACGGGAAATGATGCGGAACTGTGTCCAGTCGAAGATTTTCTTTTCTTGATCATAAATGACTCCAAAGGAAGACACTGTTCTATAGAAGTCTGCTTGTTCTCTCCTGGTCCACCTTGAGATTTAATCAGAGAGGGAGAATGAATGGACTTTTCTCCTTTGTTTTCAGGGCAGTACTGGGGTGGTGGTGGTGAATTCTGGACCTCATGCTTGGTAGGCAGGAGTACTACCACTTACACCACTGTTAGCCCTCTTGTGCTTGTCATTTTTTTTGTGTGTGTTTGTCATTTTTGATGTAGCACCTTATTTTTATGCCTGGGCTGGCCTGGACTACGGTCCTCCTTTTTGTTTCCTTGTGTTGCTAGGATGATAGATGTATGCTGCTGCCTCAACCACTGGGTTATGATTGGGGGGTGGGGGAGAAGAGGAGACGGCTGAGGCTGGGTTGGCCTTGAACTCTGAGCCCCTGAATGTGGCCTCCATGTAGTTAGGATTATAGGTTTGAACCACCATGCCTACCTTTTCTTTTCTTTTCTTACTGGGGATTGAACTCAAGGCTTTGTAACTGCTAGGTAGGTATTCCACCACCTGAGCTACACTTCCAGCCTCCTGTCTTTCTTTTTTAAGAGTCTCCTGACACAATCCTCTGACACAGCCTCTACAGATGTATGCTATTATGCATAGCTTATATTTCTTTTGCTTTTCAACAGAAAGGCAACAACCACTTTTTCAGTACATATTCATGAAATCAAGGAAGCAAGTAGAACTATTTTGTCTATTTTTACTTAATTTTAATTGGGCTAAGAGAACCTATTAAAAAAAATCACTGTACTCTCAAAGAGGGACTATTCATTCAGATCTTCAGCTCTTTCCTCCATACTGACCCCCCTATCTACATGTGTGCAAACCATATGTTGACTCTAGAAATAACTACTTTTACAAGTTATCTAGTTAACTTCACTTACAGAAGTCAGGATTAAAAAACATATATTCTTAATTATCCTGTCCCCACCCTCACAGCACAGGAGGGACCTTCCAGACAATTTAATCCAACCTCTTCATCTCATCAGGAGACTGGAGTCCAAAGGAAAGCGCTACCTCAGTGTACACACCAGAACTCCTCTCATAGCTCTTTGGTTTTATGTAGGTAGGCTGTCCATGTCAACTCTCTTCTCTGGGACAGAAAGTGTTTCCTCTAGTACGGAACTGAGATAATGACTTAGAGTGGAACATGCCACCATAGTGCTTACAAGGAGGTTCCTGGGCCTGGTGTTCTCGTCCCCAGCTAGGAACAGGGGACTGTGGTGAGGGGGTCAATGGAAGAGTGAGAAGCAGGAAGAAGTTTTTCTTTGCAGCCATACCAGATGGGAGATATATTTCGCCTGAATGATCAAATTTCATAAAGCCAGAGTACAAAGAAGTAATTGGCTATGCTATGTGGTGTTCATTTAATTCACTGATGCTTCATCAGAAGGACAGAGTTATAAAGACTCAAAGAATTGCAGTTTTGAAGATCTGTTCAGCTTATGCTGGCCTGTAGTAGTCTTTTTAGCTTAATTCTCAGACAAGCAAGTAACTGACAATTTTTACCTTCCTTTGGGCTTGTACTTTATGGCATTTATTACTCTCAAAGGCTTGATAAAGACTTGTAGCTATAATAAGACAGCTTTAATTCCTTTTGTTGATGAATGAGGATGTTTGAAATGGCCTGACATAAGCCAGAGTAGTATTTTTAAATCATATCATCGGTGCCAGGGCCTGACTTAGAGAGAGTTATAAAATTCTGGGAATTGTGTCCAAAGGGTATCTAGGTCTCATGAGACTCCCTAGTCTTTAGGATAACATCATCACCATTTATGGATTCTGGAAACAATCTAACTTCACAGGAGAACACAAACACCTTCCCTCCAGCTACTTTCCCTCTTTTACCTCTTCTGGGCTTCTTTGCTGATGAGATCCATTTCTGATGTTCTCCTAAACATCTCCTCTTGAACCCAGTATCCTTGGTTACCTGGTCCCAGGATTTCAGGTCTGCAGAGTTCCTTGCGGTTGCAACGCTGGTAAATAGTGACCAGGCGCCGGAGACGAGCCGTAAGAGCAGATGAGACCGGCCACGGTGATTTGTCTGGGTCAGAGCCATCCTGGGCTTCAAACATCAGTGAAGACATTAGTATTTACAAACAGAACTAAGACAAGAACAACTGGACTTTCCCTAGGTCCTTTTTGTTAAAAACAAGGCTGACCCAACAACTTGATCAGTACCAATTAAACAACAGCCCAGAAGGTAGGCATGTCAGGAAGGGCTGTGATTTTGCTTTAGAATCAGCTTTATGTTGTGGATGGCACTTTCTCGAATAAATGTATCCTTTTCTGGGGGACAGAATTGCTCTACATCATAGGAATGAGTGAACTCTGCAGCCTTCCCCATACAGACTCCTGGTTTCTGTATAGTTTGGCCCTTCCAAAGCTCCTGATAAGTATGAATGCACAATCAACAGACTACCTCGATTGTTACCTTTCTTAAGATCATCATAATTTTTCTCAATGAAATCATAATTCCTTTTTTTTTTTTGATCATGGGGCTTGAAATGTGGGCCTGAGAACTGTCCCTCAGCTCTTCCACTAGCGCTCTACCACTTAAGATATAGCGCCACTTCTGGCTTTCTGGTGGTTTATTGGAAATAAGAGTTTCATGGACTTTCCTGCCCGGGCTGGCTTTGAACCGAGATCCTCAGATCTCAGCCTCCTGAGTAGATAGGATTATAGGCGTGAGCCACCGGTGCCTGGCATCATAATTCCTTTTTAATCTCTCCAACCTAGCTTAATTTCAACTTGCATTTCAATGTCAGGCAGAGGAAGCCATAGCCGTGTAAGACTTCAGTGGAGTTGAATAAGGGTCAACTTACTTCGTTTTTAAAGTTTCTTCTTAAAAAATAACTGGCATTTTTATTACACATAAACTCCAGGATGACTACATACTGGGACCTTACTTTTCTTTGTCTTCAGAAGGACACAGTCTCACCTGCCCGGCTGTCATCCTTTTTTTCACCAAAAATGCCATCACCACCTCCATCACCAGGACTCTCCTAAGGATAAAGGAAGCCATTCCATCAGCAAAACTGCAGCTTAGAAGAAAGCATCTCTGAGAAACCCTATGTGGAAGAAATAAGCAGGCACAGAAGAAATGTATGCCTGTCTACTCATGTCTGTGAGACCGAGTTGGTACCGGATATGCATAGTATACTTATGCACAGATTTAAAGGAGCCAGAAAGAAGTTTGTTTGAAGTCTCTTCCTCTAGTTCTCCCTCCCTTCCGTCCCCCAGTAAGAATCAGCTTAAGCAATAAGGAACTGGCATACTTTCTCTGGCAATTATATCTACAAGCAGTATTTTAGCTGTGAATTTAAATATTTGCTTTATCACTGTCACTTGCAATTTAATACTGTCATTTCACAAAGACTGTGCCTGCATTTTTGTCTTATTTTTTGCTGCAAAGGAGTGTCAGGCTCATGTTCATTATGGTTAGCTTACTTCACAGCAACAGACACTATTTTCACAAAACATGACTGTTGCAGACAGGAGACCTGATGGTGCAAAACCCCAGGAATTTAAAATTATGACATCAAACTCCAGCTGAATCTGGAGTAAGATCATAGGCATGGAGCTTGTCCAAGTTGCTAACTAATTCCTTTATAAGCTTTGTCTTGGTCTCAGGAATGGCACTTTAAAAGACACACACACACACACACACACACACACACACACACACACACACACACACACACACACACACACACACACACACACACACGTATATGGCACCTGTGGGAATGTGCAGGTGGAAAAGAAATCATGTTTTCAACAGGACTCTGTTTTTTAACACTGAAACTTACATTATCCCAACTAACATCTTTTGCTGTTTTTTGATGGCACAGAGAAACCTCAGGACTCAAGACTTTGCCATGTGAGAGCAGAGAACAAGAAGCCTGCATTCAGTGAACTGGGGACTGTATTCATTTCTGTGTGACCCTCAAATTAAGAATGATTCTGGGCTGGGAAGTTGGTTCAGTGGTAAAGTGCTTGCCTTGCATGCATGAGGCCCTGGGTTCAATTCCTCAGGACCAAATAAGCAGAAAAAAGCCAGAAGTGGCACTGTGGCTCAAGTGGTAGAGCGCTAGTCTTGAGCTAAAGAGCTGAGGGACAGCACCCAGGCCCAGAGTTCAGCTCCCATGACCAACCAAAAAAAAAAAGGTTCTTATGATTCTGGGTACTAAAGAGAAAGAAGAACATAAGACAGAGAGCACATGTATATAGTTATCATCTGGTGCCTTGCTGAAAGTGCTTGCCATCCCCTAGCCAAGAGGCCTGCAGCACCTGATAGGACAGAAATGGACAGACCCCTATAGGTGACAGTTAACATCCAACAAGCCTTCAGCTTCTAGGACCTGAAAGAGAAAGCTCTGAGAAGGAAAAAAGAATAAAACTCTTTATATGGCTTATCTAGTCTAGTTATCTGACCCGTATCAAGAGTTAGAAACTATTACTACCCCCATCTTACAGAAGTACAAAACAAGGCTTAGTAACAGTAACATGGCCAACAAGAGGTGGAGATGGGCTTCAGACCAGACAGCCTGATTTGAGAGCCAAATGATCTAAAAAGTGGCAGCAAGAGGGTCCTCGATGCAAGTCTTTGGAGAGTGGAAAGGTATTCAGAGCTGGGAAGCACTTATCAATCTCCTTTATCCAGGCCAGAACTGTTTCCTGCATGGAAAACCCAGGATGACTTATCGCTATCTTTTGTTTAAGTGGTACTGGAGTTTTGAACTCAGGGCTTCATGTTTGTTAGGCAGGCATTCTACCACTTGAACCATGATCACAACCTTTTTTCCTTTTTGCTTGGTCTGGGCTGGCCTTAGAATACAATCCTCCTGCTGGTGCAGCTGGGATCACAGGCACAAATCATCAAGGACCAGCTTACTTAAATCGAATTGTCTTTACGTGGCAGTAGTGGGGGTCTAAACTCAGTGCTCATACTTGCTGGGCATGTGTTGTACCACTGGAGTCACATTCCTAGCCATATTTTTTTCTGGCTATTTCTGAGACAGAGCCTCATTTTTTTTTCCCATCTAAGCTGGCCTGGACAATGATCCTCCTATCACTTCTTGCTGTAGCTTGGATGACAGGTATGCACCAGCATGTCCAGCTTTTTCTGTTAAGATGGGGATCTCATCAACTTTTTGCCAGGGGTAGGCTCCAACCACAATCCTCCTGATCTCTGCCTCATGAGTAGCTAGGATTATTAGGCACAACCCATGGAACCCAATTATTAGACCATTTTGAAGTAACACTTAAGTGTGCCATATCATCCTGTTCTATTATTTAGGCAGATAAACAAAAGCAAAACTGCCCCACTATGCCTTATACATTACTCTTCTAGAGAAAACCTTTTTGGACATTCACAGAGTAACTGTAGGATCAATCCTCCAAATGCTGAAATTCTCAAGTATAGACACATCTAGGTCAGAAATGTTCCACAGCCAATAAAGCCTTGGTGTACCCCGGGATGATGTTGTTTATCAGAACACATGGGGGCATCCTCATATCCCAGACCCACGGAGTAGGCTCCTAGCCTGGCGTGGTGTCCAGTCCACTCAACAGACAGGAAACACAAACAGCCTCAGCAAGTTCTCAAGCAAGGAAAGCTTTAAAAAGTATTAACAAGAGCCCCTTCCCGTGGCTTGTTCTCTCTGGGGGTTATTTCTCCTTTCTAGAAATGACAATGAAGAAGCCTTGGCTTGTCAGTTGCCAAAGTAAGAAAGATGTCATGACTTAGGTAGTAGCCAGTTTAGTGTGAGTGTGTGATGTGCGAGGGCAGTGACAGTCCCACACACAGAAGCTGACAAGGCCCTGCAGCTCAACTGCATAGTCTAGGAAGTTCTGCCTCCATTTCTGCTTATTTAAGTCACCAAGAATAAACACTCCTCCTAGAAATCATTTCAGAACAAGGGACCAAGAGTGCTGACAGCAGAATGTCAACTACCAAAGACACACCAGACTGGACATAACACACAAATTCTCCATCCTGAGGACACATGTGGCTTGGAAACTCCTTGTCTGCGTTCTGAACTTGGGGACAACTTTCCCATCTCTCTCAAACTCATTTCGTCTTTTGCAAAAAAGGGCGATTGTGGAGCATGAATTTAATCAAATGCTGGTGCAAAGCAAATGCCTATCACATGGTAGTGGGGATGGAGAAAATACTGATACATGATCCCATTATCAGATCATCACTCAATTTGTGCTGTAAGGAAGATTTCAAATGATAGTTAGATTGTGGCACTAATGACATGTAAGTGCACTGAGTCCAGGTAAGTTGCTGGGTACTATACTCAGTATTTTATCTGGGTCTTTTTTGGGGGGGAGGGCAGGTTTGGGGTGTAAACTCAAGGGTTCAAGCTTGCTAAGCAGGAGCCACATCTCTTGTGGCTCAGGACTTTAAACACATTTCTCACGTATTCATTTTAATAATCCATTCTAGAGATGAGGAAATGGAGGAAAATATGGAAAAGGAGGCTGATAATATCATTCAAGCTTATACTTTTTAATCCTGAAGATGAAATTTAAACCCTGAAGATCTCACTCATGAACTCTCAATTGTCCTGTACTCTGTGCTGATGGTGAAGAAATACTGTGCTGACTTCAAAGCACTATCCATAACTAAAAGTACCTTCATTCCACACATTACTTCTCCGCTCTGGTGCAAGGTTCCATTGTCCTTATCTCAGAAGGCCCAGACTCCCTTGCTTGTGGCTCCCTTCCAGGCCTGATTGCCTCCCCTATCTGTTTCTGACATGGGAGAGGTGGTAACAGTGACAGTGCAGATTGGGTGAGAACTGAAGACACAGAGTCCTTCTTCTATGTTCTTCCAAAACCCCAGATGATGCTATAGTCAGCCAAACAATGAGTGATGAATATAGTGAAAAGTATAAAATCCTTATCATCTGGAGCCCTGTCTGGTGGTTGTAAAAGACAATGAATAAACAGAGGTCAAAGAGCAAGATATGTGCTCTGTAACATACTGGAAACACAAGAGTCGCCAACTCTACCAGATAGGAGCAAGGAAGAAAGATGTGTAAAAGCTGACTCAAGCTAGATACTGAAGGATGTACAGTATCCATACCTTTCATAAAGATCTATTAACATTATATATTCATATAGATATATGAATAAAATTTTATTTTTTGTTGGTGCCAGTCCTGAATTCAGGACCTGGGTGCTGTCCCTTAGCTTTTTTGCTGAAGGCTAATGTTCTTGAGCCACAGCTCCACTCTTGACTCTGGAAGTTCATTGGATAAAATTTCACAGACTTTCCTGGTGGGGCTATCCTCAGATCTTAGCCTCCTGAGTAGCTAGGATTACAGGCGTGAACCACCAGTGCCCAGCAGTTAACATTATACTCGACTGTAGAAGACTATCTTCTTCCATATCAGGAACAAGGCAAGGGATGTCTATTCCACTGCTCTCGTTCACATGGGGATACAACTTTTGCCGGTGGAGTAAGGGAATGAAAAGAAATAAAATTTATGCAGATCAGAAAGGAAAAATTAAAACTTTCCTATGTGTAGATGATGTGGTGCTGACAAGGGAAATCCCAAGAAATCTGTGAAAAAAAAGCTCCTAGAAGTGAAAAGTTGAGTCTGGTGAGGTTGCAGGACATAAGACAAAGAGATCCGTTACCTTGTTTTCTGTGTGCCAGCAAGGAATACAGGGGACAACAAAGCTGAAAATACAACAGGAGTTACAACATTCCAAAGAAAATGAAATACTAAAATGTAAGTTAACAAACATGCATAGAACTTGAATGCTAAAAAGTACAGGATGCTGATGAAAAATAGGTTAAAAAAGTAAAGAGATGTATAGCATGATGTAATACAGCTAAACACAATATGGTGAAGATGTCAATTTTCAAAACAAGAATTCAACGCAATTCCTATGAAATTCCAGCAAGACTTTCTGCTGATACAGACAATTTTATTCCAAAGTTCATAGAGAAAGATAAAGGAACAAGAAAAGCTAAAGCAATTTAAAAGAAGAATGAAGTGGGAGGCATCAGTCTGCACAATTTAAGGCTCATGACGCAACTAAAGCAATCCAGATTGTATACTATTGGCAAAGGAAGAGACAAGTACATCAGTTGGACAAAACCCAGAACCCAGAAATAGAGACACAGAAATATACTCAATTTTTCCCCCATATGGCATAAAGACAATTTAAGGAAGGAAAGATTTAAACAAATGGTTCTAGAAGAATGAAATATGAATAGGTTAAAAAGAAAAAAAATACTTAAGGTGGGAGTGGCAGACTATGCCTGTAAGCTCACCACTCATGAAGCTCTGAAAGGAGGATCCTGAACTTGAGGTCAGCTTGGACTAGATAGTGAAAGAGACCCTGTCTCAACAAAACAAACAAACAAAAATAGATCTTTTTTTTCTCTTCATTTACATACAAATTAGTCTAAATGGACCACAAACAACTGTAAAACTATACAATTTTTAGACCCCAAAGGCAATGAAATAGGCAGGAATTCAGAATTGACATAAGGAGAACTCTGAGAAGCAAAAGTTGATAAGCTGACTTCTCAGAAGTAAAACTGTTACTCTGCCACAGACAATGTGAATAGGACAAAATGATGAATTATAATGTGGGTGAGAATATTTACAAAGTACCTTTCTGACAAAACAGTAGTATCTGGACTTTCAAAGAATTCTCTAAAACAAATATTAGACTTGAAAAAAGCCCCTTTTGCTAAATAGGTCATAAAGGTGGCAATTAAACACACAAAATGATGTCCAATATCATTAGTCCTTGAGGAAATACAAACTGAAACCACAACAAGGTTTCATTACACTTATCAGAATGGCTTAAGTCAAACAGTGACAGTATCAAATGCTTCATGGAGGATGTGGAGAAGGCAGATCATCCACCCTCTGTCTGTGGGAATACAAAATGGTACAGTCACTCTGAAAAAGTCTGGCAGTTGCTTAAAAAGTAGAAATGTGTAACTACTGTATTATCCAATAATAATATTCATTGGCATTTACTCCAGAAAACTGAAAATGTGTGCTCACACAAATATCTCCATGCAAACATTTAGAGAAGACTTATTCTTACATGGTTAAAACCTGTAAATAAATAACCCAAATGTCATTGAGTGGATGAAGGAGCAAACTGTGGTTTATACATACTACATGGGATACTACATGGCAGTAAGAAGGAATGAAGTATGGCCAGTATTGAGAATAACCTGAATCAATCTTTAGAGAACTAGGCTGAATAAAAAAGCCCATCTTCAAAAGTTATATAATATAGGAGTCCACCCACAGAACATTCTTTACAATGATAAATTATAGACATTATGAAGAGATGAATGGTTTCCAGGGACTAAATGGGGAGTGAAAGTAGTGGAGAAGTGGATGAAGTTATAGAAACATTCTGTGGTCTGTCTCTTGATTCTGTCAACATCTGTGTCTTGGTTGTGATACTATAATTTTGCAAGGTGTGACTATGGGAGAAATAGATAAAGCATACACAGAATCTTTCATATTTTACAACTGCATCTAAAAAAAATCTCTAGATACCCAAATAAAAATACAATGCAATTTGTGTGTTTGAAATTTCCACATTATTGGGGAAATCCTGGCAATGAAAGTGTATCTGCAGCAATGCAATCAAAGTTCCCAACACCACCACTGCCAGGATGAGGGTCTTCTCTGGATATGAAAAACACTGTGGAAGACTAACACAGCAGAGTATGTGTATATGAAAAACACTGTGGGGGCTGGGAAGGTAGCTCAGCGGTAGAGTGCTTGCCTTGCAAGCATGAGGCCCTGGGTTCGATTCCTCAGCACCACATAAACAGAAAAAGCCGGAAGTGGCGCTGTGGCTCCAGTGGTAGAGTGCTAGCCTTGAGCTGAGGGACAGTGCCCAGACCCAGAGTTCAGGCCCCATGACCAGCAAAAAAAAACAAAAAAACAAAAAAAAAACAACTTATGCTAATAAAATGTTTAAAAAAAAATTAAAAAAAAAAAAAAGAAAAACACTGTGGAAGACTAACACAGCGAAGTGTGTGTGTGTGTGTGTGTGTGTGTTTTCTGTCCCTGAGCTTTTTCCAAGTTTCTACCACTAACACAGCAAAGTGTGTGTGTGTGTGTGTGTGTGTGTGTGTATGTGTGTATGTTTTCTGTCCCTGAGCTTTTTCAAAGTTTCTACCACTTTGAGCCATAGTGCCATGTCCGGTTTTCTGGTGGTTAGTTGGAGATAAAGAGTTTCACGGACTTTTGGTTTTGAACCATGATCCTCAGATCTCAGCCTCTTGAGTAGCTAGGATTACAGGCCTCTGGCTCTTGGTAACACAGCACTTTTGACTTACCGTTTGCTTCTGGAGGCTATCTAATTTGTCCTCAGCATTGTCTTCTTTATCAGGGCTGCCTCTACATAAAAGTAATCACATACCACTTGTTATTCTGCTGCCAGGGTCCTTGAAGACTTCCCTGCATGCCCACCCCCAGACATTGTGGAGTATTAGTAGGTCTCTTTCTCAAGTGGCAAAAGCTTTGTTTTCCTCTTCCTTTTGGGATAACTCAAGAAACAGAATGAGAGAAACAACCACCAGACTATGTCATCATTTCTACGGCCAAGAATGCCTGTTAGAGCCTCGTGCTCCAGCCTCAGGGTCTGCTAGGGGCTGGCTGTGCAAGCAGAAAACAACAACAAACAAGAAAAAACCAGGGGTAGTTTCTGCCACTAAGAGCTGTCTGACAAAAGACTCTAGAGTGAAGGTTGTAGGGATGGAGTAAGGCCAGAGGATACCAAGCCCAGACTATGGTAGAGCGAATCATCTCACAGAATCACCGGAGTCTGGCACACGCACTTTCTTGGGGGGAAGCTCTGCCTCATGGCTGGAAAGGAAGCGCATTTTGCTCCCTGCCATCAGACACAAGTGGCATTCATTAAATGTTGTTCATAATTCACTTAAAAACTGACTTTGAAATATTCCTGTCCCAAATATTCTTGTCCTTTCCGCTCAGGTTTGGGATGTAGGACAATCTTCTACCATCAATTCTTAACCTGAAAGCTACCCCACACAAAATAAAAGGGCTTTAAGTCACATGCAGTCACCTTACCTAGGAATGTTTTTCTAAAATGTGAACCTGTATCAGTATCTCTTGCCATCTGGGCCTTTGTTAATATCTCCCAGAATACATTTTTATTATCTGCCACAAGAAATGCCTCTAGAGCAAAGAACATCACCAGGCATTACAGGTTTTTCCTGGTTTGAGCAGATGGTTAGGGGCCAAGCCTGACCACAGCCCTGGGCAATGTGAAGTAGAATCTGCTACTTATGTGGAGAATATTAGACCAAAAGCTTCCCAAGCACAAACTCTCTCTTACAAAAACAAGTATATTTGGGGGAACTATCAGCTTTCTCGAGAATTTATTCAATTTGGAGTTATGCCAACAGGAAATAAAACTTGTGCAATGTGATGCTTCCACACACTTGTGCACCCCTGGGACAGGATGAAAAGCCACAACTATGAAACAGCGGCTCAGTTTACCTTACTCATTGACAACACCATCTTAAGTCATACTGGCATTTTAGCTGAAGAACTTCAAGATCAAGAAGCCTGAACTTGCTATTTCTTGCTATTTTCTCTTCTTAGCTTTCTGCCAGGTAAAAGGGGTCTGAATTGCCCGAGGAGAGCTGGTGTGAAGCATAGCAGGGTAGACCCAAAGTGGCAATCGGGAAGCAGATACTTTAGGGGAGATACCAGATTCCCTTAAGAATACTGGACGTATATGTAATAGGTTGGTGGCATGGTATGTTATAAAAGTGTTGGCCTATGTGGCTTCTTACCTTTCAGGAATATCTGAGGTTCCATCTGTGACGCCTTGCTCTGCAGAAAGAGACTTCTCATCTGGCATCCCAACTTTATCCAGGAAGCAGAGTGCTGGGTCTGCTCGCATGGCATTATACCTCTCATAACCTGAGCAAGCAATGAGACACATCAGCAATTATGTCAGAACTCACCAAATCCATCTTGGGTCTCATACAGTCATTTTGTTTTCCCTTATTAAGTAAAAAATAAAACACAAGCAACACAAAAAAATGCTTATATGCGATTAATGAGATCCAATGAGACTTGCTAACCAGGAAAGATGTGGGAAAAAAAGCTGACACTTCTGAGCAGTGAAGGACTAAAATTGAAAGCTCATGTAAATACTCAGTGTCTGTTGAAGAGGCAGAGGCCAGATACAATTAGCACTGGTTTTCTGCTTTTGGCTAGCAAAGGGAATTATAGGAGTTGCATTTACAAGTTCTCCAATCCTCAACTTCAGAAACATTATTATGCTCCAAATGGGCCTGTTTGCTAACAGTCCAAGTGTACCCCCCACACAAGAGAAGCTGAACAAGATGATGGGAGGAGGGATGAAATATCAAGAGGACTAATATGCTGCTTATTAGGTTAAAAATGGACCTGTTTCTTCTGTATTCATCAACTCAGTAAGAAACTTTAACGCACACTGGCCAGGGCTGTGGAACTGCTCCTCACTACACCCTTAAAATCAACTGAAAGGAAGTAGTACTGTGGCTCAAGTAGTAGAGTGCTTGCCTTGAGCTGAAGAGCTCAGGGACAGCATCCAGGCCCAGAGTTCAAGCCCCATGATGGACAAAAAAAAAAAAAATCAAGTGAAGAAGAATTTTGATCCAGAAGACAGACTTCAAAAGGGAGGATAACAGTGACAAGTATTTTTAATTTAATGATGAATATATATTGAATATATAATCTTGTAAGGAGACAAGATTTTGGTCATGTACAAGACCCAAATCTACTGTCACAACCAACATCTTGGAGGAGGCTTTATGATCATCAAAAATCTTTCAGTTTCTCTTGGCAAACAAATCAATCTCTACTGCTATAGTATGTACAGATATCTCCCTCGCTGGTGAAGGAAGAACAGATTGTAAATAACCAGTCTAGTTGATAGGAACATACCTGATCTTACTTGGTTGAGTATCGTACTGTTCTACCTTAGTTTTTGTTCTCCTACCACTGCTGATGCAGCACCTGGTGCCTCTCTTTTCTTCAGGGAACTATAGGTACTCGATCTTTTAATTCAATGTGACTCCCTTGCCACATCCATAACAGGTGCTGCCCTGTGAGGGCATGAGAAAGTGCAGGGCCTTGTGAGCTCTTCTGTCCACTTATGTCTTATATTGATGATTTGATTACTGAAAGTCTCTCATGAGACTATAGCTCCCTAGAAATAGAATCTGTTCCAAAACTTCTCAGTCTCCTCTAATCTGCAGGCTTTGTGTGTGTGTGTGTGTGTGTTGGTTGTGGGGCTTGAATTCTGGGCCTGGGTGCTGTCTAACCTGAGCGCTCTAACCCTTGAGCCACAGTGCCACTTCCAGTTTTCTGATAGTTAGTTAGAGACAAGAGTCCATGGACTTTCCTGCCTGGGCTGGCTTTGATCTGTGATCCTCAGATCTCAGCCTCCCTCCTAGGATTACAGGCCTGAGCCACTGGTGCCCTGCTACAGCCTAACATTTTTAAGAAAGGCATTTTTAAAAATTTTTAAGAAAGAAAAAAGATTGACTGTAACGTCTATGCTTAGCTTTTTTATACCACTGAAGACAATGGAACTCTGCAAACATATGAAATGCTAAAGCCTAGCACTTTTCTTCATTTATTTACTCCTTCACTCAAAAAACAGTGGGTTTCTACTATGTGCCAGATGCCAGGACCATTAAGACTGAATGAGGAGACAGTCCCACACCAAACAAACAAACAAGAGAGGAAGATAAATACCAAGTGAGCTCTTTGGATCACAGCTGCTCTTCTGAAGTTTCTCAATATATTCACCGTACTGTTGCAAGTCACACATTCACAGTACTGTCATAAGGCACACATTCATTGGGTCAAGACCAGGTGGGGAGAGGTGATTGAGGCTCTACTTCCTTAATGGGTTGGACTGTGAAGTTTAGTCAAAGACTGCCTGATTCCTCTTTCCTGGGGGAACTGATCAAGAAGAAAAAGCATTCCTGAAACACCTACCATGCTTGAACACACCAATGAGAAGGGACTTATCAGCCTCAGCATCCCACCAATCCACTGGGATCTCCACATAGTCTATGTCAGGCAGAGGTACATCCAGCTCCCTATGGAAGGAAAGGCAAGACTTAGACACAAACAATGGAAGAGCCCAACTTTGGTATTAAGCCACACGCCCAACTGCATGCGGTGATGATGAAGTAACAAAGAAGGATTCACAACACTGAGGTCCAGGTTTCTCAACAGGGCTTTGTTAGAATTACACTGCAAGCTATCTTAAGCACATCTCCTTATTTCCAGGCTCCACTTTAGACTAAACAAAGTATGTCATGTCTTGAAGTACCCTCTGGAGAATCTACTGTCAGTGGTGCTGGGATCTATATGTATAAGGCTGGTCTGATATATGTCTTAAGTCAAGAACCACAGCAAAAGCAATTGATATATTATCTGAAGGCAGAATTTTGCCCAAATGGTTGAATTTGTATATACAAATACTTAACACATATATGAATACTTAAATAGTGCCCAAATCATGTGTGCCCCAACATAAAGAGATCTCAAGTTCCACTTGAGAACAAGGTCTGCACTGGTACAATGAGAGATATAAAGAGGGCCTTTCAGGGGACAAAACTGATCCTGTATGAACATAACCTGCCCGTACAAGGATGAAGGCCTGTTCCATCAAGCCTTTCTCCCAGCTTCTGTCCTTCTGCCGGGGGCACATAGCATAGCTCACTGTCTTCATTCATCTGAGAAGTTCTTGCTCTTTGAAGGTTTGGGTTTAGAGGAGGGAATATCTATCTGGATGGCTCCTCCTTCCCATTCCTCTCCTCACAGTCTTTTTTTTGCTGGTCCTGGGGCTTGAACTTAGGGCCTAGGTGTTGTCCTTGAGCTTCTCTGTGCTCAGGGCTAGCACTCTATCACTGGAGCCACAGATCCACTTGCAGCTTTTTCTGAGTAGTTTATTGGAGATAAAGAGTCTCAGGGACTTTCCTGCCCCAGTTGGCTTCAAACCATGATCCTCAGATCTCAGTCTTCTGAGTAGCTAGGATTACAAGCATGAGCCACCACCTCCTGACTTCCCAGTCTTAGATGGTTTCTTTCTTCCATTATGCTTTCTTTCTCTCCCTCCCTCTGTCCCAGGCAGCTGGTTGGGGTAAAAAAAACACGGGCCTCCTGAAGCACAGACCAGTTTGGCTAGTTCATGTCAAATCTTTTCTGTGGCTATTTTTTTTTGGCAATGTTGGCATTATTACCACTGAAGTCGCATCACCAAGCCCTTAATTTACTATTATGAGCCTGATGTGTTGTCCACTGTGCCAAGGCGATACTTTTTCCACTTTTAGTTGCTTTTCAAATAGGATATTTCTTTTATGTTTGGGCTGGTGTGAACTATGATCCCATTTATACCACCATGCTCAACTTCTACATTGTGAAGACAGGGTCTTGCTGTTTTGCTCAGGCTGGCCTTCCAAGTTAGCTATGATTACAAGTGTGAGTCACCACATCCACTGGCACTTTATACCAATTCCTTAACACTGAGAGGTAAGGCTGATGTATTTTACCTGGCAGGAGTTCCCTCAAATGCTTTATCAGCTGCTTCTCCCAGTATTTCAGCTTTTAGGTAGTACAGCATCCGGACTCTCAAGAGGACTCTATAAAAAGTGACTATGTTAATGCAAACAGTAAATCCCATGACTCCTTGTGAACATACTTCTCAACTGAGACAGGAAAATTATGGGCATTCCCATGGAGTTAGTGGTATGATATACCAGAAAAACAAAACACAGAGGACCAATGGCAGGTGATATGGCAAACATGCTGATCTTATCAGGACAACACCATCTCCTTGGTCTCCTGATTGATGACTGTGAACCACTGGGGATGGAGGAGAGCAGGGACAGAGAGCCCTCTACCTAATCTTCCAAAGAGTACTTGCCCCCTCTACATGGTCACAATAACCTTGGTTTACTAGATGCTGGCTTCTAGTAATGATAAACAGTGGTTCCTTTAAACATTTTTCACTCATACACCATGAAATTTTATTTCTAAAAAAAAATTTTTTTTGGTGCCAGTACTGTTACTTGAACTCTGGGCTTAGCGCTCATGTTTGGCATTTTTTTTTCTCAAGGTTTGTGTTCTACCACTTAAGTAACAACGCCATTTCTGACTTTTTACTGGTTAATTGGAGGTAAAGAATCTCATGAACTTTTCTGTCTGGTCTCAAACTGTAGTCTTCAGATCTCTGCCTCTCAAATAGCTACCATTGCAGACATGAGTCACCAGTACCAGTGAGTGGCTAAAATGAAGCTTGACCTCAGGGCATCATACTCTTGCACTTAGCTTTTTCTCTCAAGTTTACCACTTGAGGCTTTTTTTTTTTTTTGGTACCAGTCCTGGGGCTGATACTGTGGGGCTGGCTGCTATGCCTGAGCTTTTATGCTCAAGGGTAGCACTCCACTACCTGAGCTACAGTTCCACTTCTGGCTCTTTTTCTGTTTAATTAGAGAGAAAGAGTTTCACAGACTTTTTTGCCTATGCTGGCTTCCAACCACAGCCCTCAGCTTCTTGATCTCAGCTTCCTAAGTAGCCAGGTTTACAGGTATGAGCAACTGGTAGCCAGCTCATTTGTGGCTTTTTGCTAGTAAGTTAGAGATAAGAGTCTCATGGACTTTTCTGCCTGGGTTGGCTTTAAACTGTAATCCTGAGTAGCTAGGATTAAAGGTATAAGCCACCCGTGCTGGGCTATAAATGAATTCTGACCAGCTGGGACCACAGATACACATCCTGTCTTTTTAGACTCTGCATGGTTAGTAGTATGGAACATGAAAGGGTCTCCACATGGCGTTCTCTCAAAGGCCTGGATGGTCTGCACACGGTTGTCCCCAAGAGATGAGAGAGGAGCACTCACTTGTTGCAGTGCTGTTTGAGATGTTTCTTGTAGCCATCATCATGTAAGACCACCTCAGGGTTACAGGTGGCTAGCCAGTCTGCATTCTTTAATTCTGGGAGCAGTAGTTGGTTCTTTGTCTTCTTCCCTTTCCTCCCTCTGGGAACCGGAGCAGACAACCCTGGAACAGAAACAGAGTGTCAACATGAGGAGGAACCAAGGAGACTTCAACACAGGTATTAATTAAAAGCCAGGCAGGGGTTGCAAAGAAAAGCTGGGTCATGCACAGTGGGTGCTGGATGACAGGTCCCACTGCTTATTTCATAAGTAGTGAGTTCCCCTACTCAGTCATCCCCAGTATACTTTTGTCAGTCAGTAAGATTCAGTGAGTATTTTGGGAAAAGCAAGAAAAATGGAACATAGTCTGCGTCCTTTGTGATCTTCCAATTTAGCAAGGGGAGAAGGAAGACGTGATTAGAAACTTGAAGGTGAGGCTCATCATACACAGCGAAGTCTGACAGAAGTGGGACTGGAACAGGGACAAAACAGCCAAACACAAAAGATAAGTCACAGAGCACAAGTTGTGAAGCACCAGCTCAAGGAAAGAACACTGTGAGGTTCTTTCTGGGAAGTAGCCAGGCAGCATGTGGAAAACTGCAAGGTCCCAATTGTCCCTAAACCAGGTTAGCAAGGTCATGTTGTAGGATCCAGAGGGACAACTGAGAGTATCACCACCAAAAATGTGTCTCAGAAATGTGTCTAAGAAAGAGGAGTCCCCCAAAGCACAGCAATGCAGACCCACACAGGAGCGGGGATGAGAGGACAGGGCCGCTCGTGCCTCGGGCCCAGCCTTCCACCTCTCACCTGAGTGGTTCTGGAGGGTCTGGGCCTGCCCATCTTTGGAAGGGGTGATCAGCTCCCAAATGAAACTCTTGATTTTCTCATCCCCCTTATAATGCTTGACACAGTACACCAGCAGGGCCCGGCAAATCATCTCCATGTCCTTCTCATTCAGATGCCACTTGAATCGCCCATGAGTCAGGATGTCCTTCCACCTGCCCCAGCTGATGGTGAGAATACAGAAAGGCATTGGAAGGGAGGGGACATGGCAAACGCACCCCAAAGCAGGCAACAGGAACCAAGGTATTCCTTGTTTTCTACTGGTCTATTGGTCTATTGATTGCACTGAGATTTTCGTCCTGGAAGGCCTTTGAGGGGTGGGCACATGACTGCAGCAAATCAAATGTCATTGGGCCATCAGACATAGGATTATTTAGATTGCTAAGAAGGGATGGACTACAGAACTAAGAATAAGTCTGGGACAGCGCCCAAGCCCAGAGTTCAGATCCCCTCCCCTCAAAAAAAAAGAGTAAGTCTGGATTGAAACTATTGTGAGCCAAGAATAAGACTGGATTGAAACAGCTGCAGTATTCAAAAGAAATAGTAAGCTCAGAAGCTGAGCCTTCAATTTCGACCATAGCCAGAGTGCTACACAAATCATGCCTTGATAGCAACATCTGTTGCACTGACTACTCCTACATCCTTGGGGGGGAAAGGCAGGAAATTGGTACCAGGCAGCAAATTAGCATCTGACAGTTGCTGTTACAGCATGTGAAAAAAATCATGGCACCTCTATGCTATTTCTGCAGAGCACACAGCAACAGGGGATCTGACAGAAAGCCAGCTCTCCTGCTCCAGCATATCTCATCAGCTCCATTCACTCCAGTGGGACTGGTGAGATGCACTGTGCAGATTTCAGAGACTGAAAAACAAGAGTGGGAAAACACCCCCCTCCCCAACACTGCCCCTACCACCACCTCTAAGCCAATACCCACCCAAAGATGAGCAGGTTTTTCTCCACCCGGAAGCACTCGGCTCGGAGGTAGCGCCTGGCTTTGTCATTGAGGCGCCTAGATCTCGTGGGCCTTTCATCTGAGTCACTGTCCAGCTCTGAAAATTCCATGAGCTCATCCTCTTCAAATGAGTTGTAGTGTTTGGTCTGTTTTCTCACGCGAGGTCGGTCGATCACTAAGCTTTCCTAGAATTGAGAGAACAGCTGAAAAGAGGGGCCTTTCTTTCTATCCCCACCACAAAGCACAAACACATCTTGTAGCAGTTCCTTAGGGCATGTTTGGGCAACAATGATCCCAGGTCATCCTCTGGCAGGATGGACGCTTCACTAGCACACTTTTGGTCTCCCTGACCACAGAACAAGCAGAGGGGATTCTCTGGGACCTGGTCCTCGATGCTATACAATACCATCTGCTGTTTTGCCATCAATCTAACAGGGGTATGGGCAGGCAAGGCCCTCACGTGCCCAGAATGGCAGTCTGCTTTTGCCAAGAATGACAAGAGTTGTGAGCTCCAGCTGCTTTGCTCAGCATATAGAGAGCAGTCTGTACTTTGGAGATAGAACAGGTCAGAGGATTCCATCTGCTCAGCAATTTCCTGAAGACAAACACACACCCTGCTGCTTTATTATCGGCTTCCCCTGGTACTATGGCTATTGACCATGTCTTTTACCAAAAGACAAACTCTAGCTAAGGAATGTTTCACTTTGGTGGGTCACTTGGTCACATAGACCACTTCTAGTCCCATCTTATTTTCTTCTTTAACTCTTCCCCCCACCCCCAACCCCGGCACCTCTATCGAAGGCCAGGATAAACCTCTGAACACGTTTCTATATAGCTCAGACAGCCAGTTTCCAGCCACCTCTGCTTCACTGGCTTTGCTTCCCACCTTGGAATACTCCCACTGCCTTCTAGTGCCAAAACTCTTCCTTCCCCTTTTCCCATATGGTGTTCTGCACACAGTGACTTTATGACTGTTACGCTGTAAGACTCCTCAAGCAGATTACTACAGGGGACTCAATCTCCTTAAAAGAGGAGAAACATCATTTCTGTTTGGAGAAAAGTGGTTGGGCTAAGCAGCCATTGGTGGTCCTGCAGAACAACAGTATAGCCAAATGCTGGCTAGAGCCTTCCCAAGGAATCAGCAGGGACTGTCTTTCCAGTTGGTGGGTTCAACTCTTAGATCTGAGAAGACAGGAAGAAAGGATGTGTATTCATCCTTTCAGAGGAAGAAGAAGGGAACCTAACATTTTATGGGGGCCTCACATCTGGAGGGACACTGGTGCTTATTATGTTTACAGTGGGACCTCCCAGCTGCCATGAAGGATCCACTACCTCCCTTCTGTTTGGCTTGCTGAGGTCAAGTAACTCGCCCAAAAGATTTCATTCTAAAGCCTACTCTCACCTACATTCAGAAATAAGAAAACTGGAGGTTCTGAAGAAATGGAGGTAAAGCCAACAAGCTTTCTGTTGATTTTTTAAATCTTCCTTTTATTTGTTAGAGATGAGTTGCTTTCATTAGAATACTGATACCGAATAAAAGAATCACAAGCCCAAGATGGTAGCTGGCATAAGAGACAGAGGCCAAACTCCATCTGTCTGGCAGTCCCAGTTCTAACTGCCTTCATCTGACATCTAGCAGCCTGCAGCCCGTGTCTCACTTGGACACTGTAAGGTTGTGACAGTTTATACTCACCAAGTGCTATCTCTGTGCCAGGCACGTTTTAAGTGCATTACAGAATCACCCCATCTCAGAACCAAGACTCAGGAGTCAGTAATTGCGAGCTGTGTAAGGATTTATGGTCACAGGAGCCATCAGTGAGATGCAGAGTACAATAAAATATGCCATACCTTCTCATTCTTTGCTTCAGTGTCTAATTCAGCTATTTTAGCCCATTTCTGCCAAAAGTTAGGATCATCTAAGGAAATATCAGTTCTGTTTCCTGAAGCCACAAAACTGGCCTGTGAAGGAGACAAGAGTCAATAAACTGGGCTATAATGCAGTACCAAACAACTATAATTTTTTTTTTTTAAAAAGCAGTTATTTCAGGGCTGGGAAGGTGGCTCAGTGGTAGAGCGCTTGCCTTGCATGCCTGAGGCCCTGGGTTCAATTCCTCAGCACCACATAAGCAAAAAGAAAAAAGCCAGAAGTGGCGCTGTGGCTCAAGTGGTAGAGCGCTAGCCTTGCGCTGAAGAGCTGAGGGACAGAGCCCAGCCCACAGTATAGGCCCCACGACTGGACCCCCCCCCCCCAATAAAAAGCAGTTATTTCAAATGCATCAGAAACTTTAGTATATCATCTATCTGTATCAAAACCCAAGCCTCTAATAGTGTTTTCAAAGTGAATGTGAAATCTCAACCTATTCTTTTAGCTTTAAAGACTGGTGACAACACTAAAATTTCAAAGTACAGAATTTTTTTTTTTAAGAACTTTAACTTGGAAGTAGGGAGACAACAGCAATGTTTTACTTTGTGTCTAGTTCCCTATATAAAGAGTTCTGGGCAGGGTGCCAGAAGCTTAGATCTGAGGACCGTGGTTCAAAGCCAGCCCAGGTGGGAAAGTATGTGAGAATTTTATCTCCAATTAATCACCAAAAAAGCCAGAAGCAGAGTTGTGGCTCAAGTGGTAGAATGCCAGCCTTTAGCAAAAAAGCTCACAGACAGTGCCTGGGCTCCGAGTGCAAGCCCCAGGAGTGGCACACACATACAAAGTTGGTTTTTTTGTTTTGTTTTATTTAATTTATTTTTTTGTGACAAGGTCTTCCTGTGTAGCCCAGGATGGCTTTAAATTTGCAGCCCTCCTACATCAACAGCCTCTCAAGGGCTAAGTCAGCCTCCCAAGTGCTGGGATGGCAGGCATGTACCACCACACTGGCTGAAGGGTTAATTCCTACATCTTTATTTTTATTTTCTAACAGTGACTAAATGTCTGCTTTAGGCTGGGCAGTAGGAAGTGTAGAGATGAGGGAGAGACCACTTATATTCTCTCCACAGAGCACAAGATGTCATACTGAAAAAGTCCTCCAGGAGACTGGATCAAATAGGTCAGAGAGCTCTCATAGGAGCTGGCAGAGCTTCAGCCAGGCAAGCCTGAGAGTGAGTTGCAAAGTTCTAAACCCAGTGACTCAAACAGCAAAGGAAGGCAGTCCAAGCTGGGAATCCTATGTAAAACCTGAAACGAAATGGACAAAGTTCTTGCTTGAGTGTGAAGAATGGAGTGTGTGTTGGAGGTCTACCCTCTAGTTGTGATCAAGCCAAGCTCTACAGCCAAGATGACCACTGAAGATGTCTGAAGCAGTCCTCATGCTGAGTGGACAGAGCAAAGTACAGCCCAGTGTTCACCTGCCAGTCACCATCAGCACTCCATGGCTGAGGGTGTTTTCCTTCCACAGTCCCTTATTCAACTTCTGACTTCTAAGCATCTATAATCTCCAGAGTTAAACAGACAAGATATGCAGCTGGACAATGTTAAGGGTCTGGCTTTGGAGAAAGAGCAAACCACTTTCTTTCCCCTTCCCCACAAATGATGACTTCAGAGAGAAAGTCTTGTACCTTGGCAAAAGTGGACCCTTTCCCCTCAGACTGGATGGTGATGGTGTGTGTTCTTCTCTGCAGGATCTGATCTATGTCTTCTTCACAGAACTTTGAACCTTCATCCTCCTCATCCATCAAGGCTCCATAAGCACCTTTCCGGAGTAAGTCTTCCACCTCCATTTTTGAGAGCTGCTGTACCTAAACAGGTCACCAAAGACAATTCACCAAGTGGGAAAATGCATAGGTGAAAAACATCCTCAAATCTGGCTTTTATGATTGGGTTTCCAGTACCCCCACTAAAAGTACATGTCAGAAGAACAAAAAATAGGGACAACAAAACTTTGGAAAATGGACGTTCAGATAAAGGTTCTCTAAGTTCTCTCTAGGAGGACAGGCAAGCAATTCTCTACGGGAGCTCTGGAAAAAAGCCCAGCACACGATCCATAGGGCCTAACATTCTTTAGGACATTGGTTATTATCAGATGTCATAAGCCATTAAAACTATGCACCATTGAAGAGGATATATTTGACATCTTTTTTTAATATTTTAGTTTAAGCTAGTATATTTAAAAACCTCCAGATGTAACCAAATGAGCTGAAGACTGATGATTTATTCAACATTAAATAAATACATTTGTATTGGAAATGATGTCATCTGCTAACTAAAAAAGGGTCTCGTGCCAAGTGTGATCTTCTGAACTGCTTGTGGAAAACAGGAAATGGGGTTCAAAACACCCTTTCCTGGTTCTAATTAAGAATCTGGTTCTCTTTATAACAATCACAAGAGGGAATTCCACGACTACTCAGATTGAGTAACTTGAAGTGCTATACTTAGTAACATATGCATAGCTAAGAGAATACAGAACATCTGGACTAAAGACAACTCATTTAGATTCTAATTCTCAATCTTTGATGCCCTAAGCACAGAGATTAAGGAGATATTCTGCTTGGTTTGCTTATACTTTAAGACAATTTAAGAGTCTTAGCTACAATTCTTATCCTCCACCTCAAAGGAGAAAAGATTAACTGACATATTTCAAGCTAATTTACTCATTCATTATTCACTGACTATCACCATTGAACATCTTTAAAATGCTGTGCAGTGCTGAGTCCATGAGGGACTCAGAATTCACTGATCCCATTACACTATCAAGAAGCTCAAAGTCTGGATATGAGGTAAGGCTGATAATAAGTATGTGTTGCACTGGAAAGGATGCTAAGATCTACTGGTTCTAATGGGTGTGGTTGCAAACTTTCCTAAAATGGCATTGCATTTTGGACGGCCCTGTCACAGAACTGCTCCTAAGATTCCTTTATACATTTAGAAATGCAGAGACCTGACCTAGAATTAATCCCTTCTGTAGGGAATTGCGCAACAATAATGCGCAGATGCAAAATGGTCAATGTGAACCCAGAAATAGCTGTCAAGAGGCAAGCCCAGAGAGGTGCTGGCTACGTGATGAGGGCTCTTAACAGGGCAGGCCTGTTCCACTCACTCCATTGGTGCTGCCCTTTCGGTTGATGTCCTGAAGAACGGCCTTGTCCAGGCCCAGCTTCAGGCTGGCCTTGTCAAACATTTCCCGCTCGTAGGAGTTCCGGGTGATGAGGCGATACACCTTCACGGCCTTGCTCTGGCCGATGCGGTGACATCGAGCCTGGGCCTGGAAAGCAGGAGGGTCAGACACAGCACATCACTTTTAAAAATGACAGGAAGCCTGGGCTTAGAAAGTACTCACACATTTGTGGTGTGAGTGGCCAGCTCTCAGTTATATGATACAGGACTGGGTTCTGAACAGAATTCACTCATGTGTCAGCTGCTACCTTCGGGAACACTACTCACTACTGCATGGAGGGGAAAAGCAGTAAGAACAAGCCCTTTCCTCCTCGGCTGTGGACTGAGTGCAGGCACCTAGTTCAAGTGGTGCACACTCCTGGGATGCTGTCCTGCCTCTGGGAAAAGCCTCAGGGCCAGCACTACTATTTCTCCATCTTTCAGTTTTACCACAGAAAATTTCAAAATCTAAACAAAAATACAGAAAAGAATGATGACCTCTTGTGGACAGTCTTGTTCCTTCTCTACCATATTCCTAACTCTAGAATTGTGAGGAGGTATCCCGGGCAGCGTGCCTTCCTTCCTATTTCAATAGGGAAGTTTATCTAAAAATAAACTTTTTGTCTCCCACGTTGATTTTACCTGATTGTGGAGTATTTATTGATATTTTTAGGCATTTCATGTATAAAATCACTTTTAAACGATTAAATAGTTGTACAAAGGGTTCAGTTCGATGCACCATTTTACGTGTGCGATGCACCTTGATCAGTGTCGCCCCCTCATTCTTCGCTCCCCTCCCTGCCCAAGATAAACTCTGTGAAACATTCAATACTCCCACTGTATTACATCACTTTAAAAATTACTTCTTAGTACTAACAAGCAGCTCTGCTTATTTCATAATTTTTTTTAAAAATCTGGTTTGCTTAATTATATGAGGAGCCACATACAGCCTAGACAAGGCAAACAGTTGGTGAGTTGGTGCTGCAGAGCTTTCTATCTAGGTTTATTTTATTTTTTGGTGGTACTGGGGTTTGAACACAGGATCACTAGAATCATACCTCCAACTAGATCTTCCAATCATGCTGGGACTACAACCACATCCCACTTCAACTGGTTTTGTTAAATGCAATTCACTTTTTAAAGAGACCAGATATCTGTACTATGGTTTCCCATTTTGTGTTGTCAATGAACCCTCTATCTACCCCTCATGGGAGACACAGACCCCTATCTAGGAAGAAGCATGTGGCTGGTTGGCAGCTCAGGTGCACAGTTGCTAGGCACTGCCAGCACATATGTGAGCAAAGGTCTTCATGACATGGGAACACTTCATTCTCTCTCCAGCCAGATGTGGGGCAAGTGTGTAAGAAATGGTCCAGCCACAGGCAGGAGGAAGAAACTGCTTAGAACAATAATCTGGACGCTACAGGTCTGTTGATTCTAGTCCTGCTTAGTGTGTAGCACATAGAACGACACATTGTCTGAAAGGGACATGGAGGACAAATTCTGTCCTCCCTCCTATCTCAAACACAACTTAATAATTCTGGATACACACATTCTGGTCACCACAATGAATAATGAGCTTTCTTATTACAAGCACTTTGCTCCTCGGCTTTATCTCAGCCCATAATTAAGTGCTTGCCTGCCCCGGTTAAGGTCCTAAGTTTGATCCCCAACATCATAAAAACAAAGTTTAAAAAATCCTCATCAACCTCACATCTGTATTTCTTTTCCACTAGGTCGAAAAACTCAGTTCTCAACCACACCACTATTATTATCCACTGATTTGTCTTATGCCTGTCTGCCTATCATAGTCTCAGGAAAATAGTATCACCATAAGCCACTAAAAACATAATTACTGAAAATAACTTAGGGTTACACATCCTGCTACATGAATATGGTCAAGTTGTAACATTTTCTATATACACTTCAGTAGGTTTTCTGTCTGCAGTGGTGGGGTTCAAAATCCTGGAAAACTTTCTGTATAATCCAGGACTGAAAAAATGAGTAAATATCCTAAGGGTAGTAGGAGTAAGCGCTTTTGCTGTTAGAGAGGACGTTACAAATATGGAATGAAAGAAAACTAGAATAAAGTCTGTAGTGTTAGATGGGAGGAATCAAATATTAATTATCATGATTATATATGTATATGAACATATATATGTGGAGATACAAAAAGATATGGATGTTTATATATGAACCTATGGTTTTATACATATATACAGATGAATGCGTATTGTATAGATAGGTGTTTATATTTTTTTCTGTGTGCATTCTAGCTCTATTCACTAAGAAGGCCTAGCAGTAATGTCATCCTAACAGCATTGAACACATGTCAGATCTTGGTTTCTAAATGTCATTGTCTATATGATAGAGACAAATGGCTAACTGTAAGCAGAAAAAGTGAGGCAGAAAAAGTGTGGCAGAAAAAGTGTAGGGTGAGTCTGAGACACATACCAGTGGGACATACTCAATGCATGATGAACATGATCAAATTATTGGCTAAGTGTGTGGGACTATGTGAAAATCAAAGCAAGGACAGCAAACTCCATACTGACATAAATAAATAAACAGAAGAAAAACAGGAAAACTCTTCCTATAATAGAACGCCAACAATATACTCAGACAGAAAGAGAGAAACATACACACAAAGGAGTCAAAGAGAGCAAATGGGCCAAAAGTAATTGTAACAAAAATCTAAGTTAATCTAGATACAAGCAAATAAGGGCCGCAAAATAAAATTATATAAAAGTGGAAATAGATGAAAACATTAAATACAAAAAATTTGTCTTCAGGAGTTACGCTATCTACTAATACAGTCAATTGTTTAGTTTCTGAATTTTAAGAATTGCCTTTCCAATCATTAATTTAACCACAATGAAGAAAATGAGTAACACTGGGAAACAGCATTTTTATTATATACTATTATACTAAAAACTGAGCAATCTTAAACTGTGATCTTCCAGATCCTTACTTCCTCACTAGCTGGAATTACAGCTCAGAGATATCACACCTGGCTTTCTTTCACTTTCATACTTTATAAGTACAATTATTCCTTAATGAAAATATATATAATCATGGAACTTGAAAACAACCTGATAGCTCCACCAGGACTCAATCAAGTTTATCACACAGTTTCCCAGCCCATTTTCTAGGCACCTCTATTTTATTAACGAGGGACTTTTTCTATTTCTTTGGACACCCTGAAAGTGTATCTGTAGGCCTCTACTCATGGAGGAATCGAGCTACCCATGCAATAGAAACCAGTGGCTCCCTTTCAAGCATCTTTAGAGGCCTATAGTTGAACTTGAACTTCCCAGCTCCACTGTGTAAGGTGTCAATCCCATTTAAAATCCAAAGAGCATAAAACACTCTGTGTGATTCAGTTCATCACTTTTGTTCCCCTAGGGCCTAAAATAGTATCTAGGGCTCAATAAATACATCAGCTATGTCAGTGCTTCCCCCCCGGGAGGCTGGGTGAAAACAGGAAGGAGAGGTGAATCTACTGCACGGTTGAAAAAGGGTGAAAAGAGAGACAGGAGAATACTCAATAGAAGCCCGAGTTGCTGCATGTGGGACTGGTGTTCTACATGGAGCAGCTGCCTGGCTACCCCAGGTTGCAGGTACTCTTATATATTCATTCCCCTCTACATAGTCACTTTTTGTTTTCTCTACAGCAACATTCCTCGTCTTACTCATGATTTAAGATCCTTCTTACTATTTAGGCTTGAACACCACCCTAGACCATTCCGTCTAAAGTATAGTGCTCAACTTCTGTCCTTTATATGTTGCTTCATCTTATTTCATGTTTTTCATCAAGAACTTATTATCTTACTTATTTTTCCTCAGTTATTATCTGCCTGCCACCCCACAAACATGTGGAATCCCTGGCCGCAGGTAACTGCTGGCCTAGCCCACCACTGTGCCTCCAGCTCTTGTATTTTTTATTTTTATTTTTTGCCAATCCTGAGGCTTGAACTCAGGGGTGGAGCCTCTTTGTGTTCAAGGCTAGCGCTCTACCACTTGAGCCACAGTGCCACTTCTGGCTTTTCCTGAGTAGCTTATTGGAGATAAGAGTTTCATAGACTTTCTGCCCAGGATGGCTTTGAACTGCAATCCTCAGCTCTCAGCTTCCTGAGTAGCTAGAATTACATGTGTGAGGTACCAGTGCCCAACTCTCTAGCTCTTTTAATCATCCTGGTATTCAACGGACATTCATTGAATAATGGACTACTACCTTACACACACACACACACACACACACACACTCTCTCTCTCTCTCTCAAGAAATCAGAGGTTCCAGCTACCAAGTGGCAGCAGAGGAGGCAGGAAAAGGAAGCAGCCCCTTACTTCCTCGGAGCAGTGTGCAGGCTCCTGGAGGCTGGCTTCTGGTGACCACCAAGGGCTCTATCTCTTCAGGATGGACCTCTTTTCCTTCCCCAAACCCTGCTGATATGCAGCAGCTGTGTTAGACTGTGGCTATGCTCTTGATCAGGACATCAGTCCCCATACTTCCTCAAGTCTGCCTTCAGAGACTTTAGCCACAAGAAAGACATGAACTATCCAGCCCCACCACTGTTTCCATCAACCTTGCTCAACCTTAAGGAACTCTTGCCTCAATGTCAAAAACCTTGTCAGAATAAGAAGGTGTTATGAAGAGGGAGAGCACAAGAAAGTATTGTGAAGCCTGTCAACTCAATATATCACAGAGGAGGACGCTCGTGGTCTCTGTGGGATTGGCAATGATACCCAGGCCACTCGTGAGAAGAGGCCTCTGCCTCTGGGGCTGCCATCAAGTCTAAATTCCTAAGAAAAGAAGCCTATTTTTCATTTCTCGCTTTTCTTCTCAGGCTGCTGTCATTACTCTTTGCCTTTTCTTTTCTTTTCCCTCCCTCCCTCCCTTCCTTCTTTTCTTTTTTTGGCTTGAACTCAGGGCCTGGCTGCTGTCTCTGAGATTTCTTGCTAAATCTGGTGCTCTACCAACTAAGCCACAATTCCATTTCTAGCTTTTTTTTTTTGGCAGTTAACTGGAGAGAAGAGTCTCACAGATGTTTTGCCCAGGCTGGCTTTGAACAACCAGCTATCAGTCTCCAGAGTAGTTTGGATTAAAGATGTGAGCCACAGGTATCAGCTCCTTTGCTATTTCTTAAGCCCAGGTGTTAATGGAAATGTAGAAAATTCTCACTGAACTACTGGAATGGAAGCACAACTTGTGTCTTCCAAATGGTGTGTGAAAGTGATTTTATATCCTTAAGTATTCTACCCACAGCAATGCTAACAAAGACATATTAAAAGTTCAAGAGGTTGTAGCCACTTATCCGATATCTCTAGATAAGATCACCCAAATATTGGAAACTGAAAATTAATTTCCCTCTGATAATCCTGATAAAATGATAGTATTGTTGCCATCTCTTAATATTTCTAAGTAGTGCCCATCTCTCAATTTTTCTGGGAAAGAGAATTTGGGAAGGGGAAAGTGACATTAAGTTGACAAGAAAACACCACACTGGGAGTACCCCTGCCCCCACCCTCAGGTTTCTAAGAAGGAATGTAAAATCTCTCTACCTACCCCTTTTCTACCCCAAAGGCTGACTTACCTGACCAATGATATATGGGACAGAGTCTGAGACTCCCTCTCCCTTTTCTCTGAACACAGGTGTCCTCTATATATCACTGGCATGTTCAGATTTGGGTAAGTTTAACCTAAGGAAGAGGATGTGTATGTACAGGAGACTTACCAAGCCAAAGCTTGGCTATATTGAACCATAACATCTAATCATCTTTGGATTTTACTGAAGTTAATTTTTGATTATCCATGTTATGACTATGTTCTTAACTAGTTGAGAGCTAGTCATGGGAGAAAGCTCACACACACACACACACACACACACACACACACTCTCTCTCTCTCTCTCTCTCTCTTATTTTAAGGGTTACCAAACAAGCCAGGTGCTTGTGGCTCATTCCTATAATCATAGCTACTCAGGAGGCTGGGACCTGAGGATTGTGGTTCAAAGCCAGCCCAGGCAGGACAGTCTGTTAAACTCTTACCTACAATTAACCACCAGAAAACCAGAAGTAGAGCTGGGGCTCAAAGTGGTAGAGCACAATAGCCTTGAGCAAAAGTGCTTAGGTATAAGCACCCAGGTTTATGCCCCATTACTGACAAAAATAAGTTCCCAAACAAACAACGCCCCCCTCCCTACTCATATATTATATATAGCAAGTCTTAAACTTTTAAACATAGAAGAGTGACAAAATGATCAGAAGACTGATAGCCTTTTGCTAACAATAATGAAGAAGTACCAGAGAACGGCAGGAAAAATAATGTTATCTTTAGACTGCCTCGGGGACTTGCTATAATTTTGATCTAGAATGTCCCCAGAAGTCCGTATGTTAAAGGCAGTGGAACCCTAAAGAGGTGGGGCCTAGTAGGAGGGAATTAGATGTTCAGGAATCATGTCCTTGAAGGGGACACTGAATTCCAGCACCTTCCCATCTCTCTCTGCCTACTTGCCCCTGTGAAGTGGGCAGGCTGCTCCACCACCTGCTTCCCACCATGACACGCTGCCTTCCCACAGGCTCATAGGCAACAGCGCCAACTGATCATGGATTGGAAACTCCGAAACTCTGAGCCAAAAACAAACCTTTCCTCGAAGGTGATTATCTCAGGAACTTCATTAACAGTATTAAAAAGAGCTTACTAACATGGAGACCCAAGCTGACTTTGGCTGAGCCCAGCCTTCCCACAATCAGGCTAGTTCTACTTTCACGATTTTGCAGGATCCCTCTGGGATCAGTCAGGAAGCATGGGTTACCTCTGTGTGTCCTGACTGGGGACATGGACTGCCCAGTGTGAGTGAGAACTCCTGTCAACTCCTGAGCTGAAATCTTTGGAGGTATACTAAACCTTAATCACATTAGGAGAGAGGTAATTTTCAACCTGTTCACAAGGTCTTGACAGTTACATCAATGGTATGCATCTTTATGCACGCCCAGACAAATGTTTCATGACCAAACTCATTTTTCATAGGTAACAGTCTTAAGAAACAGGATTAAAAGCTCTCATTCATTTACCAAAAACAGGTAAAATGTGTGCACATGTAAACAATTTTACCTGTTATAATAGTGAACAAAGGACAGGGTCTAGTTTTCTTTTCTGATAGGGTTATGATTTTAATTCACTAGTCTTCACATTAGACTTAGCAGCAATCTTGTGAATCACTGAAGGGGCTCAGGGACTGAGTTTCTAGACACTCTCTTCTACTTTGTATCTGTAGCACTTGGGTACAAGGGAAATGGCACTGAGAGTGGAAGTATGCATTCATGGTGTTTACTGTGTCACTCTGTGTGCATTTTTCCAGCCCTCTTCCTCTTTTCTCCATCAGATCAAGTAGCAAGAGCTTATTTCATCTCTGTGGGAGACCCAGAGCTTGGACCTTCCTCTACCTATCATATCTTCTTTATAGCCCAATAAGCACTGATCCAATTTCCTATCTCTAGATCACTATACGTGTAATTCTTTTAATTCTACAACCAGTTTGGTCATATGTTAAAAAAAAAAAAAAGAAAAAGAACCACTAAGACAGTATTTCTTCCTGAAGGATAAGATCTTAATAACCAAGAAAACAGAAATCCGCCAATCAATATCTAGTCTAGAAAAGCAAGAGTTGAAGAATTCTAACTCTAGTTCTGACTTGATCTGTCATTTATCGACAACCTCACTCATGAAGTTTTTGTTACTCATTGGGATCAAAGCTGCCACCTGGGATCAACTCTGTTAACAGTCTTTTTTTGGTTTCTTCACTCAAGCCTGAGCACTAGGGAAAGTTCAGAAACTGACTTGGCACACTTAAAATTTATACTATCTATTTCAGTTTGGGCTTCATGATTCCCTATTCATCTTCTGCCAGTTCCCCCAGCAGTGCATATTTCTAAACAGCCATCCCAAAGTTTCTTCCTTTTCCCCAGATTTTCTTCTGGACAGCCCCACCTGGCTGCTACACATACAAATCAGATCACTTCACCTTCTCCATCAGTTTGGACTTTCTTGCCTTTTCCATTTCTCAGCAAATTAGTATTGCAAATTATTCAAATCAGTAATGCTTACATTTCACCTAGGAGATGTATAGAATTCTAAAACCTTTGCATCTTGCTGTATTGCTCCAATTTTTTTCCTAGATATCTATCCATGACTTTCCAGCTAACATGACTTCAAACTTCAAACTAGCCCCTCATCTTTGGTTTCTTACATCATAATCTTCTAGGTAGTCTGCTTCGCAGTCAGGTAAACATCATAAAGGAATAAAAATCTTTATATCTGTCAAGGACTTAGTGATCTGTCTGGGGTTGGCAAACATGTAATGTCTGCAGAAAAATTTAGGTTTTGTGGACTATGAGATGTGGATGATGATGATGATGATGGTGTGTATGGGGGTGGGGGGTAAGAAGTGCCTCCACCACCCACCACACCACAGAGAGTAACTGACTAGTGGGAAAGCCTCCATCACCACGCCACACCATGGAAGACAACTGAGTAGCAGCAGTACTTCCATCACCCCACCACACCATGGAACTTTCCCATCTCTTTAATTCATTTACTGTTTATGATATATGCCCATCAAACAAAATGAAGGAAAGTGCCAGATACCTTTATACTTGATAAGAGTAACAATTTTGCTCTGCACTTGGGGAAGAGGCTACTGTCTGGTTAGTGGGGAAGGATCAACAACTACTACTTATTTGGTTTCATCCCTTGACTAAGGCCCAACCCTGTCACCATAGCACTGGGTGTGATACAAAATCTATAGCCAAGTCAGACCCTGTTGGGATACTCTGGGACTCAGGGCAACTAAGATAAACAGCAATCATCCTAATGGTTACCTGCAAGTCATTTTGTGGGTTCCAGTCAGAATCAAATATGATGCAGGTATCAGCAGCCGTGAGATTAATCCCCAGGCCTCCCGCTCTGGTACACAGAAGAAAGACAAAGCGGTCTGAGTCTGGCTTACAGAACCGGTCGATGGCTGCCTGGCGCAGGTTTCCCCGTACTCGCCCATCAATTCGCTCATAGGTGTATCTGAGGGGACCCAAATGAATGAAAGCCCAGGTGTTAATCATGACTTCAGTGGAGAACAGAAAACAATGCAGTAAGCTGTTGCCCAATGGTCTTAAATCTATCATGTCTAAGTTTAGACAGCAGTCTACAAAGCAGGGCAAACACATCACACTACATTGTAGAATTCTTCCCCACTCCCAACAAAGAAAAAGAAAAAAATAAAACAGAAAATCAGCTGTAAATTAATGAAGGCTAGAAGAATTGTAAACATAAAATACAGACATCCAACACTGATCCCAAATAAGCTGTCCAAGTAACTTATTTTCAAGAATGTCAAATAGTTGCAATGCCTTAAATCATAAGGCCAGGAAATACAAATATGAACCTTTCACACAGACTTTCGGTAATGCTCAGAACAAGAACTCAGCATTCTTATCAGACTCCAGCTGCACAGGCTAACTGGAAGTTATAAGAAAACTGTATTGCCAGGCCTGTGTGGGCCACATCCAGCCTACAGTTCCTGAAAGCTTTAGAGGTACACAGGAAAACCTTCAATTTTAAAGATAAAAGTCAAGGTCTTCTCAGCTTTATGTTGCCAAGCAAGCAAGATCAATCACAGGAAGGGTTTCTAAGGTGTGCTGGGGGCAGGGAGACTGAAGATTAATTGAGGGAGTAATTAGTGAGAGCGCAAAGCAGAATATCAGGAGAAAGGCTTTATGTACCTCTGTGGATAGGTAAAGAAGGCAGACAAAATGGTGAGGGTAAAGAGAAAAGGCAATGAAGATATCAGTCATGCCAGTACTTCCATTCAGAAAAAAAAATACAGAAAGGATCTTTATGGTGGAGATGAGGAAATTAATACAAGATTCAGCAGCAATCTATTCTTTCTCAGTTGAATTTTATTACTTGCTTATATATTTGCCTGACAACAAATGAATTAATATGTGGTACATTACTCTGGATTCAACGCATAAGCAAAAACTGGCTCATCCAACAGAATAGGAACCTGGTGAAGGAAAAAGAGCAAGCTATCCTAAACCCAACAACAGCTAAGACCATGAACCTTGGGGAAAATTCCTGAAGCCCAGAATTTGGCTGGGGAGACCTGGGTGGGGGAGAGGGGGAGAATCAGATCTCTAAAACTTTGAGAAGTTAATTGTTAAGATTGTAAAGATAGATATTCTAGAGGTAGATATGTAGATAGCTTTAGAAAACTAAATTTGGCAAGGTGTTTCTGACTTTCTTGAAGAAAAAGAAAAGCCATGTAAAGAAATCAAGGAAATATACTACCAGACCAACTCAGACCTATTACGGACACATAGAAAAGAAACAAGTCTGAAAATACTGATTTTTTTTTTTCTTTAACAAAAAGCTACAATACAGCCGGGTGCCGGTGACTCACGCCTGTAATCCTAGGTACTCAGGAGGCTGAGATCTGAGGATTGCGGTTCAAAGCCAGCCTGGGCAGGAATGTCCGTGAGACTCTTATCTCCAATAAACCACTAGAAAACTGGAAGTGGCACTGTGGCTCAAGCAGTAGAGTGCTCAGGGCACTTGAGCTAAAGAGCACAGGGACAGTGCCCAGGCCCAGAGTTCAAGCCCCACAACCGACAGAAAATAAAAAAACCTGCAATACAACTATACCTGGAAGAATGGATTTTTAAACACTGTTGTTACTTTTTTAATTAGAATATGAGAACTATAGTGGCAAACAAAACAGGACTGTCCTGAGGCATACCAAAAAGATTCTGTTTCACAGATGAAGTTAATGTTTGCATTCTACCACTTATAACAACCACAACAATAGTAGTAGTAAGTTTTGAAGTGTCTGCTCTGGGCCAGACATTGGCACACACTTGAAATGGATCATTATATTTAATTTATACTATAGTTCTTTGAGGTAGTTTCTATTATCATTTCCCACTTTGTACTTGGCAAATCTTCAAAACAACAACTTGCTCTGTCACCTTGCTGTAAGTAGGTTGAAGCTCCAGCTCTGACTGGTGGATTTCATGCAGTTCCACTTGGCTTAAATATTTGTAAGTTAAGCCGGGTGCCAGTGGCTCACGCCTGTAATCCTAGCTACTCAGCAGGCTGAGATCTGAGGATCAAGGTTCAAAGCCAGCCTGGGCAGGAACCAGAAAACCAGAAGTAGCACTGTAGCTCAAGTGGTAGAGTGCTTGCCTTGAGTTGAAGGGCTGAGGGACAGTGCCCAGGCCCAAAGTTCAAGCCCCATGACTGACCCCTCCCCCCCAAAAAAATTGTAAGTTAAAGAAAATTAAAGACACTACTAGTTTGGAAACAGGTGACTCTAATCGAAAGGAGAAACAGAAACCACACCTACATATCACAATGGTTTGCTAAATCAGTGCTCCAAGGATCTGTGATGGTTTAGTCTGGCCAAGCATGTGGTACAGATGAAGCTGCACAGGACTGAGAATTCAGAGCTTGAGATCTACACTAAGCAACAGCCCCCATCCAGGGACCCCATGCATAATCGATGCTCCAGGCAGAGGACTCAATGCTCTGTGACAAGACACCCTGGCATCAGAGAGGAGCCAGAGGCCCCTCGGTCTAAGGCAGGCTGGGAACTAGCATAGCATTTGGAGAAGAATTCAATAAATTGCAATGATGTGGTTCAGCCATACCTAAGGGAAAGAAAAATCCCATAAAATTAGGTAAGTGCTCTGCCAGCTATGATGTAACAAGGGTTTTCAGAAATGAAATTTATGCAGGATGACTGGAACAGTAATTCTCATTTCTGTCACTTGTTTAATTCTGAGGAGTGGTCTCAAAGAACACAAAACTAAAACTGGAATTATTCGAGCTCTTTTAAATTATTCCTCGCTGCCCTGAGTGAGCCAGATCTTTTGGCTCTGCCCTCATTCCTGTGTGAGAGTCTGGCATGGAATTAAGTGGGAACAAAACCAAACTGACAGCTGGAGAGGCAAAGAGCCTCAAGAACAAAGAAAACCTTGAGGGCTAATAAGTCTGAATGAGGAAATCAGACACCATAAAGTTTTCCACCCTGAACTTCAGCACAGCAGCAATTAACCCTCTGTGACAACTGTATTTTGAATGAGATCCCAAGGAGCTGATGTGGCTCATCAAACTGTAATTCTGAGTCATTGTCAAATCTCAACAAGAAGCAGGTGGCACTATGGAAAAACCTCTGAGGACTGGCTGGGGGGAGGAAAGTGACAAGTTTTTGGCATTAAAAAATGTTGACCTCAGAAATCTTGAAGGGAAATGAAGAATTTTTTTGTCTCTCAGCAATAACCAGTTGGAAAACACACATATTATGCACACACATGCAGAGGCAGGGGAGAAAAGGAGAATGAACAAGAGTTCACAACCAATAAAAACATCTAATATGTTCAGGATGAAACTCAGGAAGAAATACAGAACTGGTAACGTGACACTGGAGCATTGGTGACAGGTTTTACTGCTGCATTCATAATACCAACAGAGGTCTGTACAAAAGACTTGAGTAAGAAATGAGCATAATATATTCCGATTTTGCAAACATGTTACTCCTACACTACTTAATGTGTAAGAGCCAACAGAAATCCCACCACATGGATATATGCCTATACATCTATAAACATTCATTTTCTGGAGCTGGGGTCTTGAGTGGTCACAGGTTTAAAGAAAAAGAAATTTCTAGAATAATACACAAGAGCAAAAGAATAGAAGCACTGTCAAAAGAACAGAAAGGCTAGTACAGATCTCACTTTGTTTTTTATTTTTTGTGGACAGTATTTTATTTTATAAGGATAAGGTAAATAAAAGATGACTAGTGAAAAGTAGAAAACAGACACATTTGGAAAGAAAAGAAACTTCCTTTAATGTCATTAACCAAAATAATAGAAAGAATGGAAGGTGAAATACAAAAAGAAAACAAAAGAAATCCAGGTAAGGATTATGAGTGAATGTCACATTTAATTTGTTGATTGGTTCAAATCTTTAGTAAAATGACATTAAAACATATAGCCCTTTCCTCCCAACAAATCTATAAATAGAAGTGGCAACATTCTAGAAGGTAGGAAGCATGCCAAGTGGTATTTGATTGGGAAGAAATGCAGAATCCCAGGCAAAACTCAGCCTAACTTAATACTGCAGAATATCACACATCTTAATACTGAGAATATCAGACATTGGTATCACTAGATACCTGAACAGTCTTGAAAACAGAGTATCTAATGGAATATTTGTATCCATTACCCTTTAGATGATCCATTCTAGCCTTGAAGAGGATAAAAGAGGATAACTACTCTGAGAATCTCTGAAACTGAAACATAGGTCTGAAACTGAAAATAGGGAAGAGAGACCCCTATCCTGTCTCCTCCCTGTCCCCATAATCAACTTAGAACAGAGTCAAGGGCTTCCACTCTTTAGGTAGGAGAAGAAGAGTCAAAAATCATCGACACTGGAGGGTTCCCAGTGAAGCAGCCCAGATGGATGAATAGCTCTCACATGTACAAAATGAAGTTCACAGTCAAGAAGCTCCATTCATAAGCCCAGAGCTTCAAAGAAACAATGGCTCACCATCTGATGGCCAAAGACACCAGACAACAAGCAAAGTCCCTCATCTGAATCACAGAGGCTTAGTTTCTGCTCTTGTAGGGCTAACCCTCTAGCAAAAAAGACACAGTCTATGCAAAATATAAAATAACAACAATAGAAAAAAATAAATGAGTAGTAAAAACTGACTTGAAGGTACTAGAGAGCCACTGCCTGGCTTTGAAAACTGTAGCCAAACTTCAAATACCCACTGTCACCTTCAGATTGCTGGTGTGTATCAGTGTCTGAATGTTGGAGGTACAGTGTATGATTTAACAAATGCAAACTAATCACATACCCACAGTTTTCACACCTGCATGAGAACCAGAAGTCAGGTTCAAAGAATTATATAAGCATCAATAAAAGAATAAACTGAGAAGCCACAGCTAGTATGTCATATAATGTTAGAGGGCCGGCTGAGTGAATATGGAGATAGAGATCCTTTTCTTTTTTTTTTCCCTTGGTGGGGGGGGGTCCAGTCATGGGGCCTGAGCTCTGGGCCTGGGCGCTGTCCCTCAGCTCTTCAGCTCAAGGCTAGTGCTCTACCACTTGAGCCACAGCGCCACTTCTGGCTTTTTTCTCTTTTGCTTATGTAGTGCTGAGGAATCGAACCCAGGGCCTCATGCATGCAAGGCAAGTGCTCTACCACTGAGCCTACCACCTTCCCAGCCCCTAGAGATCCTTTTCCTGTGAGTTGTTAGCTCATGTGTTCAGAAATCTGATGTCATATTGCTCTTATTATTAAGCCACACAAATGTTAAAACACTTAGTTTCTTATTCAATATTATGTTAATTTTGCTTCTTCCAACTAAAGTGAATATACACCATCGTGGAATTTTTCTGAAGCAAGAGACTCCATATAGCTTCCATATAAGCTATGATATTTACTTTGAACAGTTAAGCTTGCGTCTGTTTGGTAATACAATTAACTCTGAATTTTAATATTTAAGGGAAGAATCTCTTATCATTTTTTAATGTTATGTTGTTACAGCAGCATATCTGAATGGATCAGTGAATGAATGCCCAGTGCTGGATCAGCACTCTGACAAATCTCACCTCCTCTGGATGAGATAATCTTCCAAGATGTCAAGGCAGCGCACCATTTGGGAGAAGATGAGCACTTTGTGGCCACCTGCGATCAGCTTAGGGAGCAGTTTATCTATCAGCACCAGCTTCCCTGCTGCCTGGATCATGGCCTGCAGCTGAAAGTCAGAGGCATCAGGGCTGTGGGTTTTTCGGAAATCTTCTAGAATTTTTTCCTCTGCCCCTGTAAAGCAATGGAACAAAACTCTTCTTTAAACAAAAGTGTAAGTGTAAAAACTGTTCTCTGCTTTACAGAACCTGAGAAAAATGAAGGGGGTTTAAGTCCTGGACTCTCAGTCCAGTGAAAACATGTTGTGCTCCTGGTCTGAGCCAGGCAGGCCACCTAGTAAAGGACGAGAATTCCTGCCAGAAAATGAAAGGACTGAAATGTCAAACACTCAGGTAAGGAAATCTCAACTGTTGGCAGAAGTCCTGCATACTTGTAGTCATCACAAGATTGCATTTTGATGTACAAATTTCTCAAAAGTTTCATTAAAAAAAAAACCCAAACAACAACAAAATAAACTTTGCCCAAATCTTCTCTAAGTAGTATAGTTAACTGTTTTAATTTATCTAGAGGTTTAACCTCATTGCAGAATTGCCATCCGATGAAGTGATATGACACATTGCCATGCACTCAAGTGTCTGAGCTCTAGTTTGTACAGTCTACTGTATGAAAGGGCAGCAAATTGCTGAGTGCTGACATCTGCTCCTGGGAAGCCGGGTTCAGAAGAACTGTGGGGGCTCAACATTGGTTCATTCCAAACTTAGCTCTGCAAATTTATAAGCTATGGTACTTAAGATAATCAATCAACTTCTCTGAACCTGAGTTCTATATTATGAAAAAGGTATGTTCTAGCATCTAATGAAAACTTGTACATGAGATCTTTGCTTATCACTGGCTTCTGGCAGAGGCCTGTGCTGCTGCTGAGTTACTTCCTGCTGGCCTGACTCACCATTGATCAGGTAAGGATGGTTGCAGCACTTTCTCAGCTCCATCATGGTATTGATGAGGTTGGGCATGTTATGCTGATTTGCTCCCTTTGTCAGGAAGGAAAAGTTTTTCTCCAGGATGGCACGGTAGTACTTTTTCTGAATATTGGTCAGTTCTACTTCAATGATTGTCTCTTGTTTGGGAGCCAGGTTCTTTTCCACATCATCTTTCAGGCGCCGAAGCATCATTGGTTTTAGGATAGACTGCAGTTTCTTTACCTGTTCAGGGAAATGACATCTATTTAACTGCCTCAATTCTAACTGAAAGATTGTTGGAGCAGTCCAACCTTCACTATAATCTTTTCAATGTCTAATCATAGTACTGTGCAGCACACTAAAAGACCATGGATTGATTCCTGAAAATAGGGAGTTTGCCACAATACTGGAAGAAAAAGGGGATCTGGTTTTAATGCACAATTAAATCACCAAGGACCTATGTGGCAATTTCACAAGATAAAAAGGGAGAAAGATAGAAGACAGCTCCTATTCTCTAAGATAGAGAAAGCAAGCTTCTCTCACTGTCTCTTAACACGCACACACACACATACACACACATACATGCAAGCACAGCAATAAAGTAAGAATATTTTAAGCCTTGTTAGGAGGTACAAATGATACATAACCAAGGAAAGACTTGGATGCTGAAAGAATGGAAGAGGAATTCAAGGCAATCTGGAAATGGAGTCCTCCTATGCCTTTTAAGAAACAGCAGCAGTGTATCTGTTTGGGAGTCCCAGTGTGTGAAGAATTAAGTGTTTACAGTGACATCTCCCATTTCATCATGGGAGCTGTCACATCAGGGGCATGACAAGCCTGAGAGCATTCATAATTTACTATGATTTTTTTTTTTTTACTTCATCTGACAGCCCATTCCTGGATAGAGACATCCACTCACATGACCAAACCAGCAAGGTAACTTGATTCCTCTTCCAGGAAGACAATGACAAGGTTTCAAAGGTAATGCACCTAAGCTAACCTAAGGCTAAAATAAAATAATGGTAAGATTAATCCAGATGGGAAAATAAGATAGGAGAAAATGAAAGTAAAAAGAAATCAAGTTTCAAGTAAGAAAGGGCTATTCAAAATTTTAAAAGGGGCAAAATCTTCTGTGGCAATGCTTCCTGAAGAAATATAACATGAGTAGCTTAGGAGACTCACTAAAACAGGTTTTAGACAATGTATATACTTTCTTTAGAAATAGATGGTTTCCACGGCTTTTACTTAATGTGTTTTAAAATACAGAAGCAAGGGTAAAATGGTGGTTGTCAGAGACTGGTTTAAGGTGTGGAGTTTGAGTGATGTTGACTGAATAATAAATGCAAACTTCAGATAGAAAGAATAAGTTCAAGAGATCTGCTGTATGACATAGTGACTAGCATTAATAATGTACTCTTGGTGGCTCCGAGAGTGGACTTGGAGTGTTCTCAATACAAAGAATAAGTAGGTGAAGTAATGCATGTTAATTAGCTCAATTGAGCCAATCTACCACATTATAAAATATATCATTTTTGTCAAATAAGACATAACTTTTAAGTAAATAAAATAGACATTTGATGCTATTTTAATGGTTTTATTCTGACTAAACCAATTTTAAATCTAATTATTTTAAAGACTTTGATTTTACCAACCAAGGGCATTCAGGAATCAAATTCCCCAAACAGGCGAGGAGTCACTATGTAAGAGCCCAAGAAAAAGACACAACTAGCTAATGTTAAAGATAGGGACAAATGTCAACCTGCCACATGCTGGGTTCAGCTTTTGCCCTTCACTTGGTTCCTACCTTGAATCATTTAGAGTATACTATATGCCAGACACTGTGCTGGTCAATACAACAAACACAACTTTTGGAGAAGATGTGGCCTTGTCCTCAAGGAGATCATTGTCTAGAAGAAGAAAAAATGCATACCACAAATTCAGTGCGATGGGAGAAGAGGATGTTATTTCTAATGGTCCAAAATGGAGGACAGGAGCTGGCTTTTGAAGGACCAACAGACACTACAAATGCAGAGGGAATTATGTTTGATTATTTGCTAATTTCCAAGTGTGACTTGTATCCCGAGTAGAAAGAAACAGAATAGATCCATATTCTTGACATTGTTAGTAAATTTCCAAATTCACTCCCACACTTCGACTACATCAATTTAGCAGATCCAACGATGTCATTCCAATAGTACAACCATGCATGATTTCTACATTAGCTATAGATTCTTCAATATGCCATCTGAGACTTTCCCAACAATTACATACTTGCAAACCACTCAGGGCTTTGGATACCTCCCAATTCATCCTCCTATTTTCAGCTTCACCAGATGATACCACACTTCCTGGCTCTGGTTTGCTGGGACTTTTCTTATGCAAAGTAGTTACCACCTCTCTTCTCTCTCTACCTGTTGAAAACTTATCTATCCTAAAAGTGCATGTGGTCGTTCTTACTAGGCTCTTTCTTGCTAGAAAGGCATTCTACACTTCAGCTATGCCCCTAGTCCTTTCAGATAGAGTCTTATATTTTTACAATCTTCCTACTATTGTCTCCTGTGTAGCTAGGATCACAGACATGAACCACCACACCTGACTTTTGCTCCTCCCCCGTTATTTCTTCCTCTTAAGACATTTAAACCCGTCTGACTTATTTCTGTAATTCTCATAGAGACTTTATCAGCAGTAGATATTTATTAATATTGGTTGTTTTGAATTATCTTTAAATCTGACAGACTTGACTATGACCTTCAAAAACTGAGGAAATACACTTAATCTGGACATAACTGGATTTAGTCAACTACTTTAGGCACACAAGTGCATTCTTTTTCTCATTCCCAGTGCACTGTACAATAGTTAAGACAGGGAATTTGTTGCAGATTATGAGAAAGAATGAGGGATGAGGGAAGAAGAAGGAAGTACCATGTTCCTGAGGTCTCAAACGTACAAGGGAGCTCAGTGAAGCAGACCTAATGTACTAACCTAAGATACAGTGGATGCTAACTCATCTATGCTCTGCAGCAACTAATAATTGGGTGGGCCCTGTCCAACATAAAGAAAACCACAACATAAAAGACACACTAATCATTTTACCAGATGTGGAAACTTGCTCAATTCTCCATGACTTCTTTTTCCCTGGCATAAAGGTAACCATCATGTCTCCTTGATCCTTCAGCCCCTTATTACCTGTTCTTCTGTTTTCAGATCTCCAAACTCCTCCAAGAAAGCAGTCTCTGAAGGAAACTGTGATGGCTCCAGAAAATTCAGCAAACTAAAGAGTTCTTCCACCGAGTTCTGCAAGGGTGTTCCAGTGAGCAGCACTTTATGTTCCTGCATAGATGACAAGGATATGATGAAACGTGTTTGAGGCACACAAGAATACATTTTACTGGGGAAAATTAAGTCGGGGACTCTGTGCTCGGAGGTAATTCTATCCTGCTTTAACGAAAAGTCAAGGTGTCAGCACTTCACAGGAGTATACTCATTAACAGATCAACTTTCCTTTCATATTGAGTTCAGCAGCAATTTCTATCACTAAAGTTCATACACTCAGAATCTGAAAGTAGCAACCCACCACATTCTGGGTACTGTCCTAAGGTAACAGTGTTAAAAGGCAGTAACCAGAAATCAAACCAAACGGCAACATGTCTTGGTTTTCAGAGTTCCCCGAGTCCTGCTTGGAGTCAATCTCTGGTGAAAAGGACTATGGGCAAGTAAGTTCTTGACATCTGAATGGCTACGGAATGTTCTCTGCATTGGGAACAGAAGGAACCTATTTATGTAAAAAGCTGACCCATTCTCACCAGCGCCATGAGCTTCAGGCCCTCTAGAAGTTTGCAGTTCCTATTCTTCAACCTGTGAGCCTCATCAATTATCACACAGCTCCAGTGAATCTTCTTCAGTTCTGGGCAATCTGCCAGGATCATCTCAAACGTTGTAATGACGACATGGAACTTGAAGACTCCTGAAAGGGGATTTCCCTGAGGATGACATAACCGGAGGCAGAGCTTTACACCATGGCTACTGAATTCTGCTGGATTAGAAAGGGCAGAAGAATTTACTGCTAAGGCCTAGGTGAGATCCCAACATGCACTGCTTTTCTACATGTAAGAAAGGCAGGGAATGGGAAGGAGAAGCCAGCTAATCAGACAAGAGGCCTCACACTATTGATGAAACAAGTACGAGAACAAGTGTCCCCACAGAGGTGAGAAAGATTAGCTTCTCATTTATTACCTGCAATGGTCAGGAAGCAGATGGAGGAGATTCTCGCATCCTCCCCAGCCAGATGACTGTCTAGCCAGATGCCTATAGCCAGACTATCCAAGGAAATCCTCTGCTACTTTTCAGTTGACTGAATTTTACCTTACAACTCAGGTTCTAATACAGACTGGACGTAGTCATCTTGATGAACCTGGGACAAGTATTTACTAGATAGGACCTTTGCTTTTGAGCTGTCACGTTTCAGAAGTAGAGCTGGATTAGAGTATACCTAAAAGTTCTTTCAAGTGTCTCTACTGTGTATGGAGTCTTGGGGGAGAGCACATTGTCTTGCCTCTGCTTGGGGTCATTTTTTTTTTCAATTATAAAAATTTAGTACCTAGGATAAGTAATACTCTACTCAGTATGTGATTATATGTAACAAAATCTTTTTAAAAAGTTCTATTGTGTTTTTAATATGAATCCTGTTTTTACCTTTCTCTGTCCAATGTGTTCAGTTCCTCTCCAAATACCCTGGCTGGGAATCTAACTGCTATACATTAATTCTTCTCACTTCTTTTACTGAGTGCATAATTTAAATAAAATTTGCATATAAAGATAACTTCATAAACCAACCACTAAGCCAAGTTTTCAGTGTCCTAAAAAAACCTCTGGTGTATCTCAGCAAACTAAGCAAGCATGTCCTTCCATCCTGTGTTTTATATTAAATTAAAACCAATCACAAAGGAACAGTAAGAAATTACAGTAACCCAGGGGACAGAGCTTGAAAACTCTTCAAGTGTCAGAAAAGGCTGTTCTGAGCCCAAGAAGCCCAGGGGTCTTTGAGATTCACGTGCAGCTCACCTGTGCATCTCTGTACACCATTTCATACTGCTGGATCATCTGCCTGCTGATCTGACTGCCGTGGTACACAATGGCATTCATCTCAGTCCATGTCCGGAATTCTCGCTCCCAGTTAGTGATGGTTGAGAGAGGGGCAATGATGAGGAAAGGGCCATGGATTCCCCTGAGGAATATTTCTGAAAGGAACGTGATGGACTGGATGGTTTTCCCTAGGCCCATCTCATCAGCCAAAATACAGTTTTTTCTGCAGAGGGTAAGAAATGTCCATAATTCATTAGAAACTTCTAAGATAAGTGACAGCTAAAATGCTCTAATGGATAAGGTTATCTCAATGAAGGCTTTACCATAATATAACTGGCCAACTTAGAGAAAAGTGATGAAATAAGCTGATTAAAATATAAACTAACAATTACAAGACAAGGAGAAAAAAATACCTCAAAACTAAGACAAACTAAGTGTTTATAACTGAGACACTTCGTAGAAACCAAGGTAAAAATAAAATGCCTGTTGTTTGCGTGTTATCACAGGACAATTTTTAGCCCATACAATAAAGTCCCTGCAGCGGAGACCCAGCATCACAGACTAGACACCAGAGCTGTGGCCTCGCAAGGCATGTAACCACCCTCTCACCTCATTCCTTCACAGTTCAGATGGGAAACCCAAGACCTGAATTACTTGGGTGAGCCACACTCTTGGTCACACCATGAGTAAGTGGCTCTCCAAAGTCTCATCTAGGTGGGTTTTTCATTACAACATGCTATTATAGTAGAAAAAAAATCACTACAAGTTATAATCTCAAATATTAAGAAAATCTGAATGTGAATCAATTATATAAGTTCAATTATAGTGTGATAGGAACCAGGAACCAAGGAATTAAAGAGTTTTATAGTTTAAATATACTACATATAAGACTTACAGATGTTAGCAGAGTATAGTCTAGAATCCAGAAGCATTTTATTTCTCCTTCCTTCCTTCTTCCTTCCCTCTCTACCAATCTCCCTCACTCTCTTTGTTTCTTTGGGCCTGGGCTTGAATCAGTGCTATCCCTGAACTTTTTCAACTCAAGGCTAGTGTTCTACCATTTGAGCTACAACTCTAGTTTTATTTGGTGATTAGCTTTGAATCATGATCCTCAGATCTCAGCTGTCCTGGGTAGCTAGGGTTATAGGTATAAGCCGCTAGTGCCTAGTAGAAGCATCTTCTCATAGAACCTTTTTTGTAGGCTTGTGGGCATGGAGATGGTAAGGATTTGAACAAACTTCCAGGATCTTTTGTTTTTTGTTGCATCTAAGTTGATCATAACCTTTTGATTAGCTTCTTACCCCAGGCCCCATCCTACCCTAGGCATATAGTCGGTGATAACTTCTCCTTTGAGTTGGAAAACCATCTGACATAAAGGTAGTCTTGCCATGACCCTAAATTGGGGGCTGTGCTACTCTCTTCCCTCTGTTAAGGCTACTTTTAAGATTTCTAGGCTTAAGGAAACAATATGCTTCCAACTGTAAACATTTCAGCTGCTTCTGACTCCTCACCTGTTATACCAATTAAAAAGAAGCCAGTTCATTCCCTCCAGTTGGTATTCCCGGAGCTGGTTACTGTTCTTATATTCCCGAGACTTCTCGAGCTTCTGCCAGGAGTCTGAAGCAGGCCGCTCCTAGGAAGAAAACAAGAACACAGTTCAGAGACTGGAATGCTAGAAACTTGACACAGATAATTATGCACAATGAGGCAAAATCTCACACGATGCTGAGACTGGTTTCAAATTGCAATAATTATATTCTGAGTAATGGATCGTCATTTTCTACCATTTCTCCAGATTAAGAACAGTTTAAGACCTGTAAGTGAGAAATAGACCTGTCTAAAATCTTGGTAAGTCTTTTATTACTTTACCAAGATTTCTGAGTTTCTTATATTTGAAATTACTACATTTTAATTTGCTGATAAGCTAATATTAGTCAGGTTGATTTTTATTTCTACAAACAGAATTTCTTTTATTTCCTTGGGCCTACAATATCAGCTCAGGAACGTACACTGGGCCAAAGATTGTTTTCACTGATTTCTAAAAGCAGCACAAAAGGCAGGAAAAATATGCATAATCATCAAAACAGTAAACTCTTGAAATTCTCTTTAAAATAGAGGCAGTCTTACCACTTTATATTTTCATAGGAAACATCACTTCTGAAAGTAATTAATTTTCTCTATACCAAAATGAGAAGCCACATTCTTACATGTTAAATTCCAAGTGATCTATAAGGTATATATCTGGATTCTTCCATCTTTTCCATTGGCTTGTTTTCCTAGTACAGCAATTGAACTACTTTAATTACTGTAGCCAAATATCTAGTGAGAGATTAAGTTTCTGAAATGATTATAATCTATCTTATTTACTAATCTGTAACTTTAGGATTAATTTGTCAAATTCTTTTAAAATCCCACTAGAATTTCAGTTAGAATTACAATGAATTTTTTTTTTTTTTTTTGGTCATGCGGCCTGAACTCTGGGCCTGAGTGCTGTCCCTCAGCTCTTCAACTCAAGGCTAGTGCTCTACCACTTGAGTCACTTCTGACTTTTTCTGCTTATGTGGTGCTGAGGAATTGAACCCAGGGCCTCATGCATGCGAGGCAAGCACTCTACCTCTAAGCCACCTACCCAGCCCCATAATGAACTTCTTATTTGGGGGAAAACTTAAATGTTTAAGTATTGAGCTTTCCTATCCAAAGGTTTTACTTGTTAAGATTTTTTTTGGAGAGACATGGTCATCTTCCTTATAGACGAACCCTAAGCCAGAGGTAGGGAACGCCTAGCCTACTACCAAATAAGGTCCTGAAATCATCTGATCTGGTCCTGCCAAGACCTGCAGGCAGGACTCAAAACTCAGTATAGCTACCTTTTTTCATAGCAACATAACCATCAATACTAACTAACATCACATGTCATATGGCCTGTGGCAAAAAGCAGGCATCCCATCTCTATGCCTAAGCTAGTAAGTTAGGATCTGAAAACAAAAGCAAAACCAAAAAACAGCTATGTTTATGGTTACAAATGAAAATAGTCAAATTCTAGCTTTTATTATTCGGGGGGGGGGGGTAGTGAAGGTTAATGGGGTTTGAAGTTGGCTGGAGTGCTACTATTTTAGCCATGCCTCTGGTCCTGCTTTTTGTGGTTATTTTGGAGATGGAATCTCACAGATTGTTCTGCCCAATCTGTGACCCTTGTATGTCAGCCTCCTGAGTAGCGTGAATTATAGGCATGTAAGCTTTTTTTTTTTTTAGTCGGTTGTGGGACTTGTACTCTGAGCCTGGGCACTGTCCCTCAGCTCTTCAGCTCTACCACTTTGAGCCACAGCACCACTTCTGGTTTTCTGGTGTTTAACTGGAGATAAAAGGCTCATGGACTTTCCTGCCCAGGCTGACTTTGAACCGCAATCCTCAGATCTCAGCCTCCTGAGTAGCGGGATTATAGGTGTGAGTCACCAGTGTCCGGTTTCTAAGGTATTTAAATGCCATACACACACCAAACTAGAGCTCAGACCTAAAACTGACTAGGACACAGGCAAAAACTGACTTGGGGAGGAAAAGACTTTGAACTTCAGGCTCATGGGGCAGTGACAGAGAAACCTGGCCAATGGCATCGTAACTGCCAAACTTACGAGTAAGTAAATATATTACCACATGCTTAATTTCAGGAAGAACTTGAAGAGATTCAAATTCTTTAACTTTTGCAGGATCCACATCTTCCTCTAACTCCCATGTGCTCTCTTCATATGGCAGGGAACACCACTTCACCAGGTAATGTGTCACTTCCTGGTGGGAAGTGAGAGAAACAAGTGTTAGTCACATTAGGTCAACCTTTGGGAAACCACCCTATGTGCCAATATACAAATACTATTAAATCAAAGGCTACATATTAAAACAAGTTATGTGGGAAGAAGGGATAATGCTGTAGGACAGGCAAATAGCAACACACCTACCTCCCCTGTTTCTGCATCCTTGGTATGTGCCACCTCCAGGATACGATCCACTTCCACATAATCTGGATTGAACAAGTCTTCATCAGGCTAATGCAAACAGACGAAAAAGTTAACCAGAGTAATTTCCTTCCTTCAGTTCTAAAACACAGGGTTTTACTTTTTTTAATTAAAAAATTGAGTATGTGTTAGTCTGGGGCTTCAACTCAGGGCCTAGGCACTGTCCCTGAGTTTTTTTGCAGAAGGCTAGTGCTCTACCACACAGCTCCACTTCCACTTTTTAGTGGTCTACTAGAGCTAAGAGTCTCATGGATTTTCCTGCTCAGCTGGGCTTTGAACTGCAATCCTCAGATCTCAGTCTCTGGCATAGCTAGGATTATAGGCATGAGCCATCAGTGTGGGCTGAGGTTTTACTTTGAATCCTATCAGAAAATGCAGACAGAAAGGGTTTGCTTGAGACCACAACACTAAAAGATCAAACTATTTGAGGCTGCATCATGGCTAAGCAAGGCCTTTCCTGCTGCAGGTCATTACAGCAATGAGCAAAAATCACCACAAAGTTCCCTTGGCAACTTGGAACTAGATTTTTTTTTCCTTTCTTATTAACAATAGCTAACACTGGAAGAGATATGAATGGAGTTTCTTGGTTATTTGTTTATTCTACTGATTTAGGTGACAGTTAATAAGTATGTTTATTTTGTAAAAAAAATTCAGATGTTCACTTAAGATCTTACTTATTGTTATATATATATATATATGATGCTCCCAAAAAAGTTTATTTACAAATCAACAATAAGCAACACTTAGGAATATTTTATGTCTCCAAATGATCTGATGGCATGAAGAGGTGTCAAAATTCATTTCTGGAATAGGAAATTAGACAGGTTAAGTACTGACCATGGCTACAAGAGTAGTGTGAGGCAAATGGCTGACTGGCCAGTCTTTCCTACCTAAAAGGCTCTTCCTGGACCCAGCAAGGTGCTTTCAGGGTCTAGTCAATCTCGTTGCCTAATCAGTGCAGGAACTCTTTATGCGGCATTTTTAATCAGTGCAGGAACTCTTTATGCGGCATTTTTTTAAAAAATAAACTTACCTTCAGATTTAATTCCCGGGTGGTAATAATCTCGCAAGTTTTTTTTTTTTTAATCAACATGAATTATATTACTGCCAACAAGACTACATCTGGAAACCCATTTTCCTGGGTTCTGATCCCTCTCCCTTGCCAGTAGGACTGCACTATTTTTCTTGAGATACTAGAATGTACAAGGCCTCATTTTGCCTGGCAAAATAAACATTTATTTCCTTTTGTCCACAGCCCTGCTGCCATTATCTGTGAGTTGGCTCTGAGTGCAGGGGACCATATTTCCACTATCATTAGAGCCTAAGTTCCTTCCTGTAACTGTCACTCAGAATGAACTGCTTCTTTTAGCAGTGATAAGTGATCTGATTTTTTTTCTGTGTTGGCTTTTCAAAACCTCCTATCTGGACTAAAAATGAGAACAGAACAAAAACAAGTGGGGCTGGGGGTGTTGCTCAGTGGTTAGAGTACTTGCCTAAAAACACACACACCAGTTTTTACAATTATTCTCCATATGTCATGATTCTAGACCCCGAATGATAGAGAGCTAATATTTATGGAATACTGGCAGTGAATATGATGCAGGTACCATGCTAAGCACTTCTCATAAACACTGTGCCATTTACTCTCCACAATGTCTAAGATATGGAGGCGTGATAGTATGTACATAGTATACACACACAGAGGAATACTATTCAGACTTAAAAAAGTAAATCCTATTTTCCAACAACATGGATAAGTATAGATGAATATGGAAGGCATCATGCTAAGTGAAATAAGCCAGGCACAGAAAAACAATTTTCCTCATGTGTGGAATGTGAAACAACCAAGCTCATCGAAGCAGAGTGTTAAGTACAACAGTGGCTTCTAGGGGAAAGCAGATAGGGAAATGCTAGTCAAAGTTACAAAATTTCAGTTATATAAGGAGAATGTTCTGGAGATCCAATGTATAGCACGGTGATGACCGTCAAAAATACACTATAGGGGCTGGGAAGGTGGCTCAGTGGTAGAGAGCTTGCCTTGCATGCCTGAGGCCCTGGGTTCGATTCCTCAGCACCACATAAGCAAAAAGAAAAAAGCCGGAAGTGGCGCTGTGGCTCAAGTGGTAGAGCGCTAGCCTTGAGCTGAGGGACAGCGCCCAGGCCGAGTTCAGGCCCCACAACCGGACCCCCCCCCCAAAATACACTACAATGTATGCTTGAAATCTCACAAGAGGGTAGATCTTAGGTAGGGAAAAGGAAAAAGGGAAAAGGGAGAGGGAAAGAAATGGTATTATGCGGGGTGATGGATATAGTAAGTAGCTTGAATACGGCAATTATCTCACAGCATATATAGTCATCAAAACATCAAGTTATACCTCTTAAATACATTTTTCCCCCCAAAGTAATGCTGAAAAAAACAACAGGTATTGGTGTATTGTAGGTATTTAATTGTAGGTATTCTGCAGGCTACTATGATAAGGAGTTTCACTTCTTATACACAGGAGTCTGGGTTTACAGGAGTTTATGCTGTGTGTGCACACACACTTTGAGGAGGCCCCAGCAACCAGACCCAGTGTCCAGGTGCTAACCAACATGTAGTCCACTTCTACCTTTTGGAGTGAGTCCCTCATGGAGTACCCAAATGAGGAACCCCCCCCAAAAAAGCAGGCCTAGCAGGACTCTATTTTTTTGCAAGATAGCCTAGGAGTGGTATGCCTTGGTATGCAATAAGCTCAATAGATAATGATACTGTCAGCAATTTTCCTCCCTAGAGCTGTTATCTAATCATTTTCTTTGCTTCAGAATTGTCGAGATTCTTAACTATAAATTCCTATGTTGGAATTTCATTTTCCTATTTTACTCATTTCAACCTGTCTAGGCAAACCTGGACTTTGCCAGTTTCTCTTGGAGCACCAGACAGTCTGGAAAGCCTTCATTTTCAGAAGGAGTCAGTATTTTAAGTCAGCTGGGTCGCCTTCATGAAGATGATCAACCCAAAGCCCAGTTATAGCTTCTGTCATAAAAACACTGTTTCTTCCCAAGTTACTAACAAAAATGTCAACTAGGTCAAGATCAAAGACAGTGTTATGGAAACTATCTCCATTATTATTCACTGTTAAATTTACAATATATGCCAATCTTCTTAAAGTCCTTTTCTTCCCACCACAGTACAAACTCCTGGAGTACAAACACACTAGACAAGAGGATTTACTGACATTATTCCATAATAATTTTTAATCACTAAAAGAGGAAACTATGCAAATATTAAATTGGTAAGCATATGAACAATTTCCTATATTTTTTGGGGGGGTCCGGTCGTGGGGCCTGAACTCTGGGCCTGGGAGCTGTCCCTCAGCTCTTCAGCTCAAGGCTAGTGCTCTACCACTTGAGCTACAGCGCCACTTCCAGCTTTTTTCTTTTTGCTTAGGTGGTGCTGGGAATTGAACCCAGGGCCTCAGGCATGCAAGGCAAGGGCTCTACCACTGAGCCAACTTCCCAGCCCCAATTTCCTATAATTTGATGACATCTGGATGCACTCGAGAATTAGTAACTACATTTTAAGATTTTTTTTTCTTTTTTTTTTTTTGGCGCCAGCTCTGGTACTTGAACTCAGAGCTGGGGTACTATCTCAGAGCTTTTGTGCTCAAGGCTGGTGCTCTACCACTTGAGCCACAGCTCCACTTCTGAATTTTTGGTGGCTGATTGAAGATTAGAGGCTCACAGACTTTCTGCCTGGGCTGGCCATGATCCCCAAATGTCAGCATCCTGAATGAGAATTACAGACATGAGCTATGACGGGCGCCCAATTTAAGACTAATTTTTCTTGCATCTGTTCTTCAAAGGTTATTTTATTTTCTTCAAAAGTACAGTGGCACACACCTGTAAATCCTAGCTTCTCAGGTGTTGAAGAAGGGGAAGATGTCTACCTTGGTAGACAAATGATTTTCTTTGCTTTAAATCTGGACTACATTGGCCGCAGAGCAGCACAAAATCTATGGATGTGATCTGAGCAACAGACCTGTATAGGACTTCACTTTGGCCTTAGAAACTTTAACCCTGTACTTAATGCTGCAAAAAAAGTAGCCATCAAATAAGTATATATTGCTTCACCTCTGTAAAAATGTGCTTCATCTGGGCTTGCTTATTCCTAAAGCGCTTGATCTTCTGTGCGATGCGAGGATCCTTTTCCAGCTCTTCCATTGTGGCCCATTTACAATGTAAGTAGGAACTATCCAAAGACATACAAATTGTGAGACAAGCACATGACTAGCCAATGACTGAGCTTTAGGGTTTCAATAAGTAGGGGGACCTGCTTACATGGAAGTAGCTGGTGGTCTGTTATAAAACTGCTGGAGACTGTGTTTAGAAGGTTCTTGCCCTTAAGGGCAACAAGAAACCATGCAAAATGCAAAACCACAAAAATCAGCAAGCAACTCATCCTGCTGCTTCCACAGAAACTAGCTCTCCACAGCAGGGGGGCAGATACGGGCAGGGTACCAAATATACATTGTGAAGAGCACAAGAGGGAACACCACAGGACAGTGGCTTTTTACCCTAGAGAGGTTTTAAACACATAAATCCTTGGGGCCCACTCTGGCTCTGAGTCAACTGGTCTTGAATGAAGAAAGGACTTCAGTAGTTTTAAAAAGCCCTCCAGGTAATTCTATGTGCAGCTCAAATTGAACATTACTGTCTAAGCTGAACTTGAGGCCTCTGTGGCTTGACCCACAGATGCCAGTTTCTGAAGGTATAGAAGACAATGAAGTGTTAAGGTTTCATTCATGTAAAATCCCCAGTACATATATTAAATAGACGTACAAATTTCTATACTTAACGTAGAATAGCTCTAGGTCGAAAGGAGGCTCTCCAGGGTGAACCTGTAACCAAAGCAACAAGTTACCATTCCAGATCCAAGGCAGATTTCACACTTAGATGCTAAAAGAAAACAATCAACACTTTTGCCTCACTTTATTCAAGATTTCTTGAAGATGTCTTCATTTTTCCAGGTCTTTTCCTAATAAGCTATTGATCAAGTTTTTCATAGGCTGAATGTACAGCCAGTGTGTGGGTTGGTTAGACCTCATACTGGAATCCTTTCAAGGCCCAAGGAAGTATAGTACTCAGCTGATAAACCCAACCTGGCCCAGGGTTCTAAGAAATGTCAGGACCACAGCCTGGTGTACAAGTAACTTCATTCATGGTTTGCTGGCTTCCTCCAATACCTTCTACCCTGAAACAATGTGAGGTTTTCTTTCACAAAATCCTGTTAACTGCCAGGTGCAGGTGGCTCACACATGTAACCCTAGCTACATAGGAGGCCTAAGATCTGAGGAATGTGATTTAAAGCCAGCATGGGCAGGAAAAATCCATGAGATTCTTATCTCCCATTAGCCAATCAAAAGGCATTAAGTGGAGTTGTGGCTCAAGTGGTAGAGCTCCAACCATGAGCAAAAGAGCTCATGGACAGTACCTACCCCCTAGTTCAAGCCCCAGGACTGGGAACACACACACATTACCTGCCCTGCCCCCCTCAAAAAGAAAAAAAACTGGAAATAAAGATTAATCTATGCTCTCACACCAGCATATTCTGTTACTCAAGGAATTTTCCCTAGAGCTTTCCTATAGCCCTGAGATGTATAAAGAAAACTTCCATGTTTCCACTAGGACTCTATCCAATTTCTCCTCTTGGCCCTTGATGATTTCTAAAAAATGTGTGCTAACTAGTAATGGAGCTCGAACTTAGGGCCATGTGCTCTTGCCTGACGTTTTTATTCAAGGCTAGAGCTCTACCACTTGTTCCACACCTCATTTCCAACTTTTTGCTAGTTAACTGGAGATAAAAATCTCAGATTTGTCTGTCCAAGCTGGCTTCGAACCAATTTCTTCAGATCACAGACTCCTGAGTAGGTAGGATTACAGGTGTGAGCCATCAGCACTCTGCTCCCAATGATGACTATTGAAAAACTAGGATCACAATGGGAAAACGATCAGTTCAAGCCACTTGAGATATTTAAAAGCTTTATATCCTAAAATCCTCATGAGGGTAAAAGTAAGTATTGACTATGGACAATATTTCCCCCATGCTCTCACTCAGGACAAGAGGGACCATTTTATGTTCTCTAGCCAAATACCTCTTCCAGAGGATCAAAGCTGTGTTGGGACAAAAAGCCACAAATAGAAGCCACTGACCTCCTGGACGGTCTTGGATGCCAGGATCTTCTCAATGATGTTTGCATCATCTTCTGGAGGCTCCTAGATTAAGAGAGACATGGGTTAAAAGGAGGGGGAAAAAATAAACCATTGGAGCAATGGAGTTTGAGAGATTAACAGGTTGGGTACACCTTGTGTAAAATACCAGCTTTTCAGATTTTGGAAGACTAGCACAGATTACCCATTGGGTATCCCTAATCCTGAAATCCAAGGCTTGTGTATCATATTGGTTTTAAAAGATTTCGAATTTCAGAGTATCTTGGATTAAGGATTTTTCTATTAGAGACACTTAATCTATACTATAGTAGCTACTGCTTCATTCAAAACCCCACCTTTGAGTACTAAAGACTCTAAAAAGATCTCATTTTGCAAAGCTAGAATTCAAGGAGGTGGGTTCTAACCTTGGGGCACAATCCTATGACATGAGCAAAAGCCATTCTGCTTTCTAGACTCAATCTCAGGGCTGCTGTTAGCATTACTAAAGTTGGTCCTGGGTCTTCCCTTTGCTATAAAACTTGCTATATTTTGCTACATAAATTTTTCAGTAAAACAAAACAGAAAAAAATCTTCAGAAAAGGATCTTCAGGCCTTAGATTCAGAAAAGTCCCACTTCGCTAATACCTATCAGTTACTGACTTTGGGCAAGTCAACTGTTACCTACTAGTTTGCAAATGGGGTAAAATACAGACCTCACTAGGTTACTGGGAGGGTAAAATATAGTATGAAATGTTTTTTGAACAGTAAACACTGCCCACAAACTATTTAATTACTTTCTATTGAACTATATTGTCATGACTTGTGTACGTAGAAGTGGCTGTTTTTCATTTATCCTTGACTATGAATCCCAACTGAATCATTTTCCTACCCCACTCATCAAAATTTCTACTCTGAAATCTTCTCCTACAGAGAATTTATCTCACACACACACACACACACACACTCTGAAATCTTCTCCTACAGAGAATTTAACACACACACACACACACACACACACACACACACACACACACACACACACACACACACACACACACACACACACACACACACACACACACAGCGCTGGGCACCAGTGGCTCACAGCTATAATCCTAGCTACTCAGCAGGCTGAGATCTGAGAATCGCAGTCAGAAGACCAGGCAGAAAAGGCCGTGAGACACTTATCTCCAATAAACTACTCAGAAAAAGCCAGAAGTAAAGCTGTGGCTCAACTAGTAGAGCGCTAGCCTTGAACACAAAAAGGCTCAGGGACAGTGCTCAGGTTCCGAGTTCAAGCCCCAGGACTGGCAAAAAAAAAAAAAAAAAAGCTGTGTGAAAAATGACATTCTTATACTGAGTCAAAGAACACTTTTTTTGGAGGGTGGGGCTGGGCCTGAACTCAAGGGCCTTGTAATAGCTCAGCTTGCTTGCTCATAGCTAGCATACTACCATTTGAGACACACCTTCAGCCCCATACTTTTGCTGTTATTTTGGAGATAGAATCTCATGTACTGTTCTACCTGAGGCTGACTTCAAACCATGATCCTCTGGATCATGGGGATATCTAGGATTACAAGCATGTGCTATCAGCAAAAAACACTCCCATGTTTAAAACTATTTCAGGACTCTGAGTAGTTTAATTTTAGCAGTTTCACATGCACTAAAACCTTCTAGTCCTATCAAAATATGACACTTACACTATATGAAAAAAACATTACCAAATTTACTGTTCCAGGTTCCTAGTTGGAATGATCTAGAAGGATGATTTGTGCTGTATATTACCCCAGTTTCCTCGGTCTAGGGCTCAACTGTTCTAAAACCTTAACAATAAGGGGGGTGGGGGAGGAGGTGTTCTGGTATTGAAGTAGGGGCTTGAATTCAAGGCCTGTTGCTCCACTTGGCTTTTTCACTCAAGACTGGCACTCTACCACTTGAGCTGCTCTTCCACCTTTCAGCTTTCTGCTGGTTAACTGAAGGTAAGAGTCTCACAGACAACCCCGTCCAGGTTGGCTTTGAACCTCAATCCTTAGATCTCAGCCTCCCAAGTAGCTATATAGATGTGAGCCACTAGTGCCTAGCTAAGTGGTGGGAATAAAGAAAATATTGTACTTTTGCTGGGGATGGTGGCTTACACTCATAATCCCAGCTATATGAAAGGCAGAGATCCAGCGAATCATGGTTTGCAACCAGCCCAAGAAAAGATTAGCAAGCTCTTCTCTCAACAAAAAGTGAGATGCTTCATATTAGTGATCTCAGCTACCCAGGAGGCCTTATGTAGAACAATCCTTGATTTAGTGTGGCCCAAAGAGAAAGTGCAAGACCCTTTCTGAAAATAACTAAGGCAAAAATAAATAAATAAATAAAAAGGCTTGGGGCATGACTCCAATGGTAGACCACCTGCCTACCAAGAACAAAGCCTTGGGGTTCAAATTCTAGTACTGCCAAGGGAGGGCTGGGGAAGAAAACCAAGAAAACATATTTCTTAAGATCTTAAATCAAGCTTTCCCCAGAAGTTGGAAAAGAGAGAGAGAAAAGCAAAGCAAAGGGCATATGGCAGGAAAGAATTATGGAAATTAGCAAATGGGCATAGACAGATGCTTTCAAAGGTTACAAATATTTATGACACTCCTCCAGACACATGGCACCATGCTAGGTGCCATGTCAAAACCAACCCCAAATGGCCGGTCTCTTCTCAAAGCCCAACAAGACTGCAAGTGAACACAGTACAATAAAAGAAAGGGGTGGCACCATGAACTAAACTTCTGTTTTTCTGCCTAAGTATTTGTGTCAGCAAAGGAAAGGAAAAGAGAAGGCAGTTCACTGTTCACTATGTTTTACAATGCAAACCTACTGAGGGCGGGATCCTTTGATTCACTGTCATAGCTATTTCCTTAGAAAATGCCAGGCAAAAATGGGCATCCAGTAGATTTTGTTGAAAATTAAGAAACTGAGTGCCGGTGGCTCATGCCTGTAATCCTAGCTACTCAGGAGGCTGAGATCTGAGGATTGTGGTTCAAAGCCAGCCCAGGCAGGAAAGACCAAAAGACTCCTATCTCCAATAAACCACTAGAAAACAGGAACTGGCGCTGTAGCTCAAGTGGTAGAGCGCTTGCCTTGAGCTGAAGAGCTGAGGGACAGCGCCCAGGCCCAGAGTTCAAGCCCCATGACCGACAAAAACAAAAACAAAAGAAGAGGAAAAGATATAAGGAAACATGCTGAAATAAATAGAGGCCACAACTAGTGACATCTAACTATTGTGACTAGGTCATGGAATTGAAGACTTGGCCATCCTTACGCACTCAAGACATTATCCTGTATGGATACTAACAGAAGGGGAAAGCTAGATGATCTTTGGTGCTCTTTCACAAACAGCACAACAACAAAGATGCAACTATTCCAAGCGGATAGTAAGGAAAAGAACAGGTGCCTATACCAAGAGAAATGATAATATGAGGCCATTTCCCCCCTAAAGTTCAACTCTATACTAATTTACTGAGCAAGTATTATGTTTATACAGCAGTCTTACAGCAATAAATTTAAAAAATATGGCCTATGAATAACAAATCTCAAGTGCATATCTTTCTAATATACACTCACACTTACATAACTACCACCCAAGTTCAGGTTATATAATCTTTCAAACATTCTGGAAGATCTTGTGAGCTCATAGAAGTAACCACCATCAAAACTTCTACTATCATAGTTAAGTTTACCTAGTATTAATCTTCATGAACAAGAAAGTAAACAAGTAAATATACCACTATTTCTTTATCCAATCCATTCTTTTTTAGTTTTGGCAGTAATGGGATTTTAACTCAGGGCCTTGTGCTTGCTGAGCTATGCCCTGATGTGTGTGTGTTTTTTTAATTAGTTATATTTGAGACAGGGTTTTAATTCCCACCCGACGGTGCCACAATCTGCCTGCTTGAAGTTTTCTGTTGCTGGAATGGCACATACCAGAATCCAGCTCCCCTCTGTGGAGATGGAGTCCCACAGAATTTTTTCTGCCTGGGTTGTCCTGGAACAGTCTTCCTCCTGATCTCAGCCCCACATGTAATTTAAGATAGCAGGTATCCATCACTATGTCTTCCATGGAGGCTTTTCTGCCTAGGTTGGCCTCCTCTTGAGCTCAGCCTTTCAAACAGCTAGGATTATAGGCAAGTTGTATAGTCTTTATTACAGAAATTTAGCTAATTCCAAAAGTATGTAATGAATGTGTATATTAGTATATACTAATTGCACAAAGGGGTTTCACTGTGTTATTGCCATACGTACACATAATACGCTTTGATGTTATTCAATTAAACTCATATCCTATATTATTCCATCCTCCTACTTCCTTTTTTTTTTTTTTTTGGTAGGTCACAGGGTTTGAACTCTGGGCCTGGGTGCTATCTTCAGCTCAAGGCTAGCACTCTACCACTTGAACCACAGTGCCACTTCTGGTCTTCTGGCGGTTAATTGGAGATAAGAGTCTCATGGACTTTCCTGCCTGAGCTGACTATGAACTGCGATCCTCAGATCTCAGCCTCCTAAGTAGCTGGATTACATGCATGAGCCACCGGCACCCAGCTACTACTTCTATTAAAGTTAATTAGAGCTAAGAGTTCTCATGGACTTTCCTGTTCTGGCTGGCTTTGAACTGTGATCCTCAGATCTCAGCTTCCAGAGTAGCTGAATTACAGGTGTGAGCCACTGGCGCCTGGCTCCTATTCCTATTTAAAAAAAACAATTTTTAATAGGGCTCATATTTTCACATATATCAACTACATAGCATGTGTTCCTAGAACGAAGAAATGTCTCCAAAGAAGAAAACAGCTGAGCTGTCAGCTGACCCAGGCTCTTCACTATCTGCAATTTTAGTTCATCTAATTCTTGTTGTTTTCATAGATATCAGATGTCTTAAAATACATGTTTTTTTTTTTTTTTGCAACTTGTTCTTTTTCTTGTAGTTGAAAAATGAATGGCTTGCTAGAATTTACTACTTGGTAGGGTAAATCTTCCAATATTAACTATATGTGGAGGTATATAGAATCTACCTTTTGAGTTTCTTTTCTTTTCTG